TGGCATTTAAAACATCAAGGGGAAACGAGCACCACGATCGTAGCGGCTGCGCGGGCTCCGGTCTCGCCGAACTCGGAGAAACCACCCAGAGCACGTGAAACCAGAGTTGAAGACCGTTCTGTGAGGAAATTTCCCTCCGTTCAGTGTGACACGTGATCTCTTCCGGCAACAAAATCAGAATTTTAAAAGGGAACATAAGTTAATCATGGATTCATAAGAGCCGAAGGCAGCGACACAGGCTCAGGCATCTGGGCCAAGCATGGGGCGCTCAGGACCGGTCACGGCGGGTGGCGGGTCCCACGGGACTCCATGCCACGCGGCACCCAGAGTTCTCCTGTGATTTCCCGTGTTTCCCAGAACGTGAGCTTCGATCCTGGTCTTCAGAATGTAAGACCGAGAGTGACCAGCTGTTTGCCCCGACTGTACTGGGCCCGGGGCTCTGATGTCCTCGGGGAGCAGGGGGAGAACCACCCCTAGTGCGGGGTGGGGACCGCCCCGTGCGGGTGTCTGTCTCCGTCTCTTCCAGCGGGGAGCAACGGGGACGTGTCGGAGACCTCAGCGTCCTCCAGGCAAGACCGCACTCGGTCAGCCAGCTGCCGTCACCCAGACACAACGAAACGGCTTGTTTTGTATTTGCTTTTTTCATAATCGGCACATCCAGTGTCGGGACCCCAAAACCAAGAGTTGCGCGCTCCTCCGACTGAGCCAGCCAGGGCCCCCCCGGTTTCACTTCTGACACGCGTGAGCGGCCATCGAGGCCTGAGAGCTGAGGTGTTCGAGGAGGAGCGCTACCACCTTCATCTCAAGCCTGTGCGGGTTTCTCAGAAGCCTCCTGTGTGCTCCACCGGCTCTAGCCCCACTGCAGCTCTGCAGTAGGAAACGAGGCTTTTCTCCTCCACAGTCTGATCGCAGTGATTCTGTGACGTCGCTTGCCCGCTTTGTGCTGCGTAGCGACAGCCAGAAGGAGAAGCGAACCGAGACGGTCTCCGCCGGGTAGGGAGGGAGCGCGGGGGCCGCCAGCGTGCTGGCCGGTCTGCACACACAGCCTCCGCGCGGGACAGGGCAGCCTCGTTCTTCCCGCTCAGTTCTGTCAAGGACGCGTGTCCTCGCGCTCACCGAGCAGAAGGGCCGATCCTGCCCCAACGGCAGCGCGCTTTCCACAGGGGCACCGTCTGCGCCTGGCTTGGGGCCGCTGTCCTTCCTGGGGGCCGCCTGCAGAGGGAGATGGCTGGGGGCTCTACCCCGGGGCCTGCTGCCCTGTTACCCTGACATCCCAGCTGCTGGGTCACCCCCCAGTATCCCTGTCGCTGGGGCCCATGACCCTGGGTGGGCTCGTCTAGGCCCAGGCCCCGCGGCGGGGCCACATGCACTGCAGAGGGCCCGGCGGGAGGGGCGGCCTGGCGACAGCCACCTCCAACACAGTGCAGACTTCTGTGCCGCCTTTTTAATGATAATTTCAGGTTGTTTATTTTTTAAAAGATTTTTATTTATTTGACAGATCACAAGTGGGCAGAGAGGCAGGCAGAAAGGGGGGGGGAAGCAGGCTCCCAGCCCAGCAGAGAGCCCGATGTGGGGCTCGATCCAGGACCCTGGGATCATGATTTGAGCCGAAGACAGAGGCTTAACCCACTGAGCCACCCAGGCGCCCCGAGGTTGTTTTTTAAAGACTGTATTTGTCCGAGAGAGAGGGTGAGAGCGAGGGTGGAAGCAGCTCCCGTAGAGGAGGGAGCCCGACACACTCGATCCAGGACCCCGGGATCATGACAGCCGAAGACAGCTGCTTCGCTGACCGAGCCCCCCCGGCGCCCCTCTTTGCTTCTTCCACGCAGATGAGGACGTCCGTGCTCTCACAGCCTTCACTATGAACTCGTGAAGCGTGTGCTCTCAGCTCAGCGAGAGGGACCACCCGTGAGGTCGCGCTCCCGCCTGCACACAGCTGGGCTCCGCCGATGCGAGCTGTGGGGGCTCACAGTCGTGTGTTAACTCGGGACGCGCGCCCGCAGTCATGCGGTTCTCGGGACGCCGTGGGCAGGTGCGCGCAGACCACCCTCCCCGCCAGCGAGGGACCCGTGGGTGGGTCCTCTGTGAGCTGGAGGGGAAGCAGATGGAGAATGCGCTGGTGGCTGCGGGCGCGCAGTGCATGGGCTGGCGTCTGTGCGACCGTGGAGCGATCGGCCCGGCGTGCCCCTCCGGATCCCAACCCGGCCGGCGGTCCTCCCCTGCGGCGCGAGCGCGCGCGGCCGTCCTGACGCGGGGCCGCGGCTCCCCGGGGAGGTCTGGAGCTGCTTCGGAGAACCCTCTCCTCAGCCCGAGGCACATTTCCGGCGACATCGCTGGTTCAGCTGTGTGTCCTGGCGGTGTCCGCGGCACCTGTTTCCTTGCCGCCTGCGGGCGTCTCTCACTGTGGACGCGCCCCTGAGGCACGCAAGTCCTAAAACCCCAAGGCCGGCTCTCCGGTGTCGTTGCTCAGAGTGCCTCTGGGGTCAGAGCCCACGGAGTCCCTGGGGACGCCGGTGTCGTAAGGCTTCCGCCTCTGCTTTTCTGCTAAGCTTTAGGCTTAGCCTCAGACCCATCCGGAGCTACCCGGTCCGTGGTGTAAAGGAAGGTTCCGGGTCGTCCTGCGCCCGCTTTCCTCTCCCGGCACCGCAGAGAGGACGGCCCTATCCCCACTGAGTGGGCCTGACGTCAGGGCGTGGGGACGAACGTCTGGGACTGCGGGCTCCTGGGTGTCCCTGCCTGCGCGCCAGCGCCCCGCGGTGTTTCTCCGCGGCTCCGAAGCACAGTTGGGAACCAGGGATTGAGTTTTTTTTTCCGTTTCATTCATTTACTCTAAGATAGTTCGGGCTCTTTGGGGTCCTTTAGATTCCATTTTCGTTTTATGACGGGTTTCCCCATTTCTGCACAGAAACGTTAGTGAATTTGATACCGGTCGGATCACGTCATTTGGGCAGTTGTCCCATTTTAGGATTGAGGTTTCCTGCCTGCGAATACGGGCTTCCGTCCGCGCGTCTGTGGTCGCGGCGGCAGGGTCCGCGGCCTGCACGCCCTGCGCCTTCCCGGCGCTCTGCCACGCGGAACTGCGTGACGTGCTTCCTGGACGGTTAGCGGAGGGAAACACACCAGCGTCCGCACTGTTGTGTCCTGCGAATTCGCGAACAGACTCGGGCACTGCGTCGTGGCCACGTCACCGTATTTCTTCTTTTCCAGTTCGGATGCCCTTTCTTTCTCTGGTGCCCGGCTGCTCCGGTGGGAACGGGCCATGCGGGGCCGGAGCAGGCAGAGCTGGGCGGAGCCGAGGGGCAGCGCCGGGCGTCTCGTGCCACGTGTCTCCAGCATGACGCGCGCTGTGGGGTCCGCCTCGGTGGCCTGTCGTGGTGCCCTCTGTCGTGGTGCCGCCTTCCTGCTCTTCCGTGCTCGCGGGCGGCTGCTGCGTCGTCCACGCGCTACTCCGGTGGCTGGAGGTGCGGGCGCGCCTGCTGCGGACGAGCCCCTGGGATGGAGCGGGCCCCGGCCTGCTGGCGGAGGGCATCGGCGGTGTTTTCGGCGAGGGCTCTCCGCATTTGTGCTCGTCGTGGAACTCTGTGACTTTGGTGCTGCGGTGACGCTGGCCCCGGAGGCTCTGGGGGGGACGCGCGGGTAGGACGGAGCGGCTCTGTCTCCAGGACCGTGTGTACGTCACATGGGTCGGCTGCCAGCCGGCGCTTCTCCCGTCTGCGGACCCGGCCGTGTCCCCTCTGTCCCGCCCGACTGGAGGAGCCGCGGCGCTGGGCTGGCGGTCCGGCCGAAGGCTGTGGAGTCAGCTGGGCTCCGTGAAGAACCAGTGTCGCGTTTGCCGGCTTTTCTCCGGCCTCTGCCCTATCCCGCTAGTGTGCATCTGGCGAGCCCCTGGTCTAGTCTCCGATGCTGTGAAGACGTGGGCTCTGCTGGTGGCCTGAGTCGGAGCTGCAGCCGCGAGCACTGGGTCCGGGCTGTGGTCTGGGCTTCGTGTCAGGGTTTTCCAATTTCCCTTGTGACTTCCCGTGTGGGCCGCGGTGGAAGCAGCTTTCCAGAGCTCTTTGAGCTCTGTCTGCCGGGGCTGTGGCTGGAGCGTCCACGTCTCCGAGGACTCCCGCCTGGGGCCTTCCCCACGGCCAGTGCGGCCCAGTGGCTTCTCTGTCCCTTGTTGCTCTGTTGACGTTTCCTTCCAGGCGACAGGCTTGATGTCACTCCTCATCCATGTGTGCCTCTCCCTCGTTTGTTTTCTCTCGAAACCGCGGGGGTTAAGGACCTCGGACACCATTAAGTTCTGAGTTGTTTCCTTTGTGCCCTACACGAGCTTGGGTTGGCTCCGCCCTCCCCCAGCCTGGGCACCGGCCCTGCAGGCGACCCCGTTGGACACTGGGTGCCCCCAGCAGAGGCTGGTACTGACGTGTATGTGACTGACCATCACGGGACGCTGCCGGCCGTGCAGTCACGCGTCCCGGAGAAGCGCACAGACCTCATTCCGTCTGGAGGGGCGCCCCGGGCCGTCGTCACCCCGTCCCCGTCGAGGGCTGTTCCAGACGCGCCACCACCGCCTTTCATGGGGCCGTGCGGGGGGGTCAGAGCCTCGCCTGCGCTCCGTGCGCTCACCGGCCCCCGGCTGCCAGCGTTCCTCTCCTGCGCCTGCTCTCACATTGGTCCACGTCCGTGTTCCTTCCGTTCTTGGAGCTTATTTAAGACCGCTTGGAAGTCTCCTAAGTCTGGCTGGTCCCGGGAGGGTTCTGTCCCCCTTCCCTTGGGCGCGGCCATGCTGTCCTGGTGCCCCGTGTGAATCAGGACACCCGGGCGGGCGCTGGGTGCAGAACTGGGTCCATGCTCGTCATGGGCCCCCTCTGTGCCCCGGAGCCTTCCGCAAGGCTGGGTCCCCTGGCTTCTGGCTCTCTGCCTGGTGCCCGCGCTCCCATCCCCGGGGCTGCTCATCCCGCGGCGCGCGCGCCCGCCCGCCCCAGGCCGCACTCAGCCCGTCTGCTCTCTTCCAGGGCCCGCGCACCTCTTCAGGCTTTCCGGCAAGTGCTTCAGCCTGCTGGAGTCCACGTGAGTGAGCCGGGTGCCGGCGGGGGTGGCCGGCGGGACCCCCCTGACGCGCCTGTGCCCCCAGGTACAAGTACGAGTTCTGCCCGTTCCACAACGTGACGCAGCACGAGCAGACCTTCCGCTGGAACGCCTACAGCGGGATCCTGGGGTGAGCAGGGGGCCCCGGGCCCCGCGCCGGTGCCCCACGTTCCCGCCCTGCCTCACGCGCTCCGTTCGCCCTCAGCATCTGGCACGAGTGGGAAATCGTCAACGGCACCTTCCGGGCCATGTGGATGCGCGACGGCGACTCGTGCCGCACCCGGAGCCGGCAGAGCAAGGTGGGACTGTGGGGAAGGGCCGGAGGGCGCGGGCACCCCCCCAGCCTGCCCACCAGCTGTCCCCGCAGGTGGAGCTGACCTGTGGAAAAAGCCACCGCCTGGCCCACGTGTCCGAGCCGAGCACCTGCGTCTACGCGCTCACGTTCGAGACGCCTCTGGTCTGCCACCCACACGCGTTGTTAGGTAGGAGCCCCGGCCGGCTGGGCGGCGGGGGAAGGCCGAGGAGTGCGGCTCAGCCGGCTTCTGTTGGACCCTAGTGTACCCCGCGCTGCCCCCTGCCCTGCAGCAGCGGTGGGACCAGGCGGAGCAGGACCTGGCCGACGAGCTCGTCACGGCGCAGGTGAGGTGTGGGGCGGGCACCCCCCCCCCCCCCGGCCCGGCGCAGCCCCAGCTCGCTGTTCCTCCTCCCGCCCCCAGGGCTACAGCAAGGCGCTCCGGGCACTCTTTGAGGACGCCGGCTACCTGCGGCCCCTGGAAGAAGGGGAGTCGGCGCAGGAAGGAGCAGTCAAGGACCCGGTGTTCCAGACCTTAGAGAGCTGCAGTGAGGTAGGGACGGGGCGGGGCGCCCAGCCCCGAGATGGCCCCCAGCACCGGGCCGCACCCCTGCCCTCGGGGCTCGTCTGTTGCAGGCCCACAGAGCGCTGGTGAAGGAGCTGCGGAGACTGCAGAGCGTGCGGACGGGGCGCGGCCTTCCCCACGCCAGCCCCGCAGGTGAGTCCTGCCCCGTGCGGCGCCCTGGCCCCCTGCGGCCTCTGGGCCAGGCCCCGTGCTGACTCCTGCCGCTCGCCGTTCTGGCAGGAACTCCCAGCTCCGGGCACGTGGGCCCCAAGACACCCACAGACGGGACAGCAGAGCAGCTACGAGGCGACCCAGGACTGCGTGGGAACACCTCGTGACCCGAGACAGGCCGAGGGCAGCCCCAGACCCGCGGGGAGGGGGGAGGCGGGAGCCGCTTCCTTTGGGGCCCGGGAGGCACTCAGGCTCGGCTCAGAGAGGCAGACAGAATAAAGACTCAAAGTTTTAATTCCTGTACTGAGAAAAATAATTCCGTGGGTTCTGTAAACCGCTGCACAAATGCCGTAGTGTAAAAAACTTTAAACAAGTGTTAACTCGGAACGATTCACTACAAGTAAATGATTATGCATTGTAAATACTACTTTCAGGGTTAAAGTTATGTTCCAGTAACGTTCTCCTCTAACACTCAGAACGTAAGCAGAAGCTTCCGTAAATCCCCCCCACGAAGCTGCCCACCGAGCGAGGTCTCCTGTGGCCCCGGTTACACCGGCCGTGGAGGCAGGACTCGGCTGGGACAGCGCCGAGAGGCGGGAGCAGCTGCACCCAGCACCGCGGCCACCCACCTGCGGGTCAGCCGAGGCTCCCCCCGGGCCCACCCCGGGCGGTTCTCTGGGTCCCCTTTGGCTCCCGTCTCGCCCGCCGCACGGCAAGAACCAACCAGAGCAACTTTTACAGGCGTCAAGTTGAACTGCCTGCCTTAGTCCACAATGTGAAAAGGTCTAGACTAGGTACTGATAATAAACATTGTCCCGTTTCCCAAAAATGACCAAAGGCCTAAAATGGGAAACGATGCATAAATATTAATAAAAATAATTTTAAACGGTGATAACAGTAGCACAAAATATACGTCATTTCTAAGAGCTAATAAATCATCACTGTCATTAAAAACAAAGTAGATTCACTAAAACCAAGTCAACAGTCCCCTTTCGTAGCGGGCCAGCTGTGGAGCATCACGGAGCCGCCCTGGAAGCGAGCGCTATCGAGATGTCCTAAGTTAAAGGTTTTCAACCTCTCACTCTAGTAAATATTTGGTTACTGATAAGAATTTTTACTGAGCCGCTTACAAAATGCTATGAAAAGTCTTTGGCAAAGCCACGTGTGGGCCCAGACCTCTGGGCCAGAGGGGCCGCACCTGTTCCCGCCGCCCTCTACGGCATCGCGAGGAGGAGAGTCTGGGCCGACTACACACATCCTTTCCTCCTCCCCAGATTTCTAGGAAAACGACCCAGCGCAGACCAGAGAAGATTCAGGTCGTCCCCAAAACCACACCGGTTCTCAGGAGCATTTTTGCCGGGGCCAGGAGGCTGGGCTCTCCCTGCAAGCCTGGGATCACCTGAGTGACCCTGGTGATCCCCCGGGCTACCCTGCAGCGGGGGGCGAGTCTCTGGCCTCAGGCTGCCCAACTGGGGGCCCTGCAGGCTCCCGGGGCTGCAGAGGCTCAGGGACGGCTTTGCGATGAACATGAGAGCCTCCGCCATCAGGCCCCTGGGAGCAACAAGCCCGAGGGAAGGGCCTCGTCCGCCCCTCGTGTGAGGCTCAGGCACTTAGACAAGCGGCTGCGGGTCACGGAGCATGATTGGGGCTCGGCGCCCGGCACCATGGCACGCTCCTGGCCTAGAAAACCAGTTAGTGAGCGTGCGCAGGGTGAGGGTCCTTCTGCAGATTGAAAACCTCTTTCGGTGTCACTGCTACAGATACTGTTTGCACTTAATTGGAAAACTAAAAAAATTAGGTATTTCTCACTACTAGATAAACGCTCATTTCATAAGTCCTCATTTCAGAATAGGAAATCTAAGAGCTTTACCATACCACGGATTTAACGAACGGATAGGAAACGGTGTAAGTTCACAGTCCACGTATAAAGCTTCGCGTTATCGCGTATTAAAAAACCACAAACCTAGAAAGCAGCTTACAGCAACTCAGAGTGTGTAACGCCCCCAGTTTACAAAGTGCTTGGCAGGGTCACCTGCGTCATTCCTGAGCCCGTGGGGCCGGGCGGGCTCCAGGGGTTGTGCCCAGGAGGCTGGAGAGGCGGCGGCCGCAGCCCAGGCTGAACACACAGGAACAGTCACCACGGGAGGGGCTGGCCCTCGCAGTAGGGGCAGGGGGGCGCGCCCGCGGCGCAGGGCTCGCAGAGCACGCGGTGCTGGCAGGGCTGGAGGACGGCACCGCGGGCGCACTCCCGGCACACGGCGCACTGCTTGGCTCGCAGCTGGAAGATCACCTGCGGGGGCGAGACGTGGACGGTGGTGGGGTCGGCGGCTTGCTGCGGCCGAACCGAGGCCCCAGGAAAACCACAGACGGGGCCTCCGTGGGACGTCGGGGAAGGTGGCCCCGGCTGCAGAGTCAGGGCCAGGGAACCCCTCATGAGACCTGAGCGGCCGCACAGGCACGGGAGGGGGCAGCCTGGCAGGTGGCCACCTCAAGGGGCTAGGACTACAGGGAGGCCCCAACCGCGCCCTGTGGCCAGCAGGCTTGAGGGGCTGGGCTCGTGGGCACCCTGACTCCGGACCCGGGCCTCCGGCCGAGAGAGCAGGCAGAGCCTGAGGGGCTGTGCGGCCACGGGAGGGGAACGGTACGTGAGGGCCGTGGAACCTTCCAGGTGCTCAAGTTCTCACAACAGGCCCTGGTGTGGAAGGGATTTACAGCCCAGGGTGGAGAACACAAAGGGTGGAAGCAGGCAGAGATCTGCGCGGGGACCCAGAGCGACCTCAGGGAGGGGCCGCGCTGGCTCTGACCCCGCCTGGCGGGAGGGGCGCCCAGCCCGTCCTCGTCCTCGCAGGGCAGAGCCGGCAGGGAGGGGACAGACCGGCTTGGCCAGCCTTCGCAGCTGCCCGGAGCCAACACCAGGACTCACCCCGTCCACGGCTTCCAAGTCCAGGCGCAGCCGACTCTGCAGTGAGTGCAGCTGGGGCAGAGGGACGGCGCCCAGGTCGGCGCAGCGCCGCAGCCCGCGGCCCTCCAGCTCCTCCTGCAGCCGCCGGAACTGGGCCTCCACCTCCTCCTTCTTCTGCAGGGCCAGCTGCCGCGCGCTGTCTGCCGCCAGGGCCCGCTCCTTCGCCTCCTGCGCCTCCCGCTGCCACGCGTCACAGGCCTGCGACCGGGGGGGCGGGGGACGGGGGGCTGCAGCGGCGGGCAGCACGGGGTGCCCCCACCCCCCGCCGTGGCGCACCTGTCCCGCCTCCCCGCCGGCCCCGCTGGCGCACCTGCTTCACCTGCCGCCAGGACTCCTCCCACTGCCGGATCTTCCTCTTGGCCTCGTCCAGCTGCCGCCGGACCCGGGCCAGCTCCGCGCCGCTGGGACTCGTGCTTGCCGGCGGGGCGGGGCCGCTGTTCAGGATGGGGGACGGACTGGGGGAGAAGCTGCCGGAAACAAAGTCCCAGATGCTCCCGGGGACGCCGTTCAAGCCTGTGCGTGGAGGGGACGGGAGCGGTCACTGGCGGCTGCGCTGAGACGCCACATCTGGGCCCCGCTGACCGCGACCCCCGCCCCCATCTTTTGCTGCAGCCTCTTCCCGGCCACTCAGGGCGCGTAAGCAGAAAAGGAACTGAGGTCAGAGCTGTCACCGTGCAAACCCTGGCCCCCGAAACCCCCTCGCCTCCGTCCAGAGGCCCCGGAGCTGTGGGGTCGCCTACGGGGAGGCGTGTGTGGCCTGAGCGCGTCAGGGGAGGCGCACCAGAGAACCGTCCCCGACGAGGAAATAACGCAAGGGCTGGTGCTTTTGGCACGCTGTGCGCTGGGTCCCAAGTGACATCCCAGGTTCCCCTGCTCCCAGGTGACAGCCAACTACGTGCACCGCCCGTCCTCGTGCCCCAAGGCACTGCCAGCAGACTGGACAGGGGACCTCTTGGGCAGTGGCCGCCCCCAAGTCCGGGCAGTGCGACCATGTGGGGGGCCCGGCTCACCTAAGGAGCTGTAGGACGTGGCGGAGGGGCCCAGTGCCCCAGGCTCCGACCTGAGGGCCGGCGGCTGCTGGGGGGGTGTCATGGCCGAGGAGACGAGAGGCCCCGACAGGGACTGGGACAGCGAGCTGAGCGGGGAGGTGGACAGCGACGAGGATGAGTGCAGGGACGGGGAGCGGGGCGGGCAGCCCGGGATGGTGACAGGCGCCGCGCCCCCCAGTGACCTCGGACCTGCGGAGAGCGGACGTGGTCGAGTGAGCGCATGGGGCTGGGGCCAACGTGACCACCGTGCGGGACCGTGGCGGCTGCGCCCAGGTCTCCACAGAGACCACGATGCTAGGCCAGAGGCCCCCAGGGGTCGGGGCTGACCACAGCCTGGCCACGGGACCCTCCGAAGAGGGAGCCCGGCCAGCCCAGCCAAGAGCCCCCGGTGCGCCGTCCTACCTGCCGGGCCCAGGTCGCCGCTGTCATGCTCTTCCCGCTCTCCGTCTAGGGCGGGGAGGCCGAGGTCGCGGGGGTGAAGGTCCAGAGCAGCACCTGGAGGACAGGACGTCCCGTGAGCGCGGGGCCGCGCCGGAGCCTGGCCGCTGTGTGAGATGCACGCTCTTGCCCGGACCAGGCGCTGCTAGGGTTTCTGGGACCCCGACACCTCTCGGCCCGTCTGTTACCGGAACAGAGGCCTGGAACAGCATGGGGCTCCCCACCTCCCAAAGCTTTCCCTCTCCTGCAAGCTGGGGTCTCCCGCCCCTCATCCCCTCCCCTCTGACACCGGCCCCCAGGCACCCGGCTCAGGCCCAGCAGCCCCAAGAGCTTCTCAATTCCAGCAGCTGCACAGCGGTCGACTCAGGGAAGGGGCGGCCAGAGGACACCCCCCGCCGGCCCTCTGTGTGACTCCCGGGACACCCGCTGGGCCTGAGCCGTCGCCATCTTCCGTCTGCAGAAGACCCCGGGGCGCTGAAGGCACAGCATGAGGTCAGCCACACTGCCCCACCGTGCGCCCCTCCGTGAAGCAGGTGGCCTTTCCCTTGTGGCTGAGCCTTGCTCTTCCCCTGCCGGCCAGCAGGCCTCCGACCCCCCGCCGGCCCGGCAGGTGCAGCAGGGACAGTCTCTGGAGATCACAGGGCGTCCCCCGCCCCCAGAGCCCCGGGTCCAATGGCCATGCCAGAGCCCAGGGCACGCACCCTGGAGGCCCAAGTTGGGCCTGCTTGTTCGGGGTCTGTGAGCCACACTTCTGGAGCCTTCTGCCTCGGCCCTGCCCCCAGCCTCCTAGTGTCCAAGTCCCCCTGAACTGTGACAAATGACAGCAAACCAGAAGCACCAGGGAGAAGAGCCACTGCTCATTGCTGACCACATCCCGCCCTTGGCTGGGCCCAGACTCCTGGTCGTGCTGCGGCTCCAGGGACGTGCCCGGAAGCAGCAGGTGGACCACAACCAAGGCCAACAGCTGGGTTAGCATCCAGGAGCGAAGCCCAAACGTCCGGCGGCTGCAGAGAAACTACCACCCTTCAAACGGTTAAGCATCTACCGCAATTACCCGGGAATGACTAGTTACCGGGGAAACCCGGGCAGGGAGGGGAAGAGGGTGAGACGGGACTTAGGAACCACCGCAGGCCTGGGACAGGCAGACTCCCCAGGAGCCGGCTGCAGGACGCCTGCAGATCAGAGCTGCGGTCTGGCCCCGCTGGGGGCCCTCAGCCACGCCACCCCTTCCCTGTCCCTAGGGCTGGTGGACACCGCTCACCTCCGTGAAGCCCACTGAACTGGCCGCAGGGATGGTGCCTCATGCTACGCTGGCTCCTAGCAGCCGGCCTAGAGGCAGCCCCAGGCTAAGTCCCCTAAGTCCCCCAGCACAGGCACACACCCCCCGTCCTCCGGCCCATGTGGAGGGGAAATGTGGGCTCGCTGGGGCTGGGACTCGGGGGGGGGGGTGGCAGGCATGGCCGGGAGCGCACAGTGGGGGGCACCGTGCAGGCACCCCCCGCCCCGCCCCCGGCCCTGCTTTGGATTCCGGCGCGCAACTGAACTGTACCCAGGTCGGCCGGCCTCCCTACTCCTCACCCGCACCGCGGGCCGGCCCGCTCAGAAGGAAACACTCTTCCGACAAAGGTTTTAGGGGCTCCTGTGAGTCCCATCCAGGGAGGAGGTGAGCACGCCGGGCCAGAGCCACCCCCACCGCAAACCGCTCTGAAGACAAAGAAGCCGCGGAGCCAAGCGCGCGACACGGGGCCGTGGTCCTCCGTGGGGCTGTAGAGAAAGACCCCGCGCCAGGGCAGCCAGGGAGCCCACCGTGGCACCGGCAGCCCCCAGCAGCCCCTGCACCGGACGGCTGCGGGGATGACGGACAGATAAGAGTCCCTCAGGCAGACACGGCCCAGCTGGGGCCCACAGGGCCCCTTCCTCCTGGTGGGCTCCCCCAGCCCGTGCTTCTCCGGCCTTTCTTTACAGCCAGGACCCCCACACACACGCCCGCTTGCTGGCCAGCTCCTTCCTAAGACCCAGCAGCACAGGCCACCTGCATCCTGGGGCCACCCAAACCGAGCACCACAGGAGGCGGCTTCCAACAGCGCCCCACGAATCCGCCCCACGAGTCCATCTCACTGTTGGGAGAGAAGGTGAGACCAAGGTCCACAGGGCCAGCTTCCTCCCACGGCTCCGGGGCAGGCTCAGTCCTGCTGGTGTTGCTGGCCAGCTCTGGCAGTTTTGGGCCGGTGGACACCCCAGCCCTGGCCTTGGCTGTCCCACGGCCACCCCTCCACGTCCAGGCCGAATTGTCACCTTCTTAGACACATTGCACTGGGTTAGGGCCCATGCACATGACCTCGTTTTACCTGGACTACATCCGCAAGGCCTGTTTCCAAATAAAATCCCATTCTCGGGGGTTAGAACTGAGAGCTACCTTCTGAGGACACATAATTCAACTCACCATAATGGGGGCCAAGGACAGACACCTCCACAGACCAAAGGCCCAGAACTCCTGGGACCCTCCTCGAACAGAACTATGAACTGCCCAGAGGGTCCACCTGCTCCCGGGCAAGACGCCGCTGACCCTGACGCCCCTCTCCCATGCCCACCCCGCGCTGACCAACCCCCCCTTGACATCCTGTCCCCACCTCACCCCAAACTACTGCCAAGCCTCGCCCTCCAGCCTTGCACCCACGCCTCCATGCTCTGGGAAAAGGCAGCACCCTCCCCTCAGCGCCACCTTGCCCTCCCCTCCCCTACTAGGACCCCCTTCTCAACCCTCCCACCCTCTCTGGGGGGCCTGGGGAGGGCCAGTGGCCCCTCCACTGCCTGCTCCACGGCCACACACTCTGCTTCAGCAGCCCTAACCCTGCGATGCCAACATCCCCCCACGCAGACACTCTGCCTCCTCCTACCAGGGAGAGGCCCACTGCCCCATCAGCAGCTTCCCAAACTCTGGGGACACAGGGCCACCCCTGCTGGTACTCCAGGGCTCACGTGCTCAGCAGGGCCCCAGGAGGAGCCCTCAGCCCCTCCATCCTCCTGGAACCCGCACAACCGAGGGCCCTAAGCTCCAGTGGTCTCTGTGGGCTGCTCCTTGTGCCCCACCACGCTGTCCCACAAGGGGTCTTTCTGAAATGCCAATCCTGGCACGTCAAGAGTCCTACCTCCGGTGGAGACTGTGCCCTTTGGCATGCTCGTGGCCACCGGGGCCAGACCCTGCCCCCACCGTGGCTCTTCCTCTGGGACTTATGACACTGGACACTGCCGTAGGCTGCAGCCTGGCCAGGCCTTCCATCGGCTCCCCTCATCCTGTGAGAACTTCTGCTCAGCCTCCCAAACCCTCGTTTTGCATGTCTGCCTGGACCCCTGCAAACTCACGGCTGAAAGGCAGCTCCGCCCCCCACCTGCCCTGCCCCCACCTCTCTGTGCTCTGCACGGTGGCCACAAGGATGGAAGCCCAAACCCACCCTTCCGGTGCAGGCCTGGGGTCCCAAGCCTCTGCCCGGACACGCAGGTCAGCCAGGCCTGGTGACGGGGCCTCAACCTTCAGCACCAGGTTAGGTGTGGCATGCTTCAACGCAAAAAGTTCTAGAAACACTTTCTGCATAACAAAAGCACAAATGAACTGACCATGGGGGAGAAGCAGCTGAACCAGGAGCCTTTCCTCACCTGTTAAAGATTCATCTTGTCACAGTCCCCCACCCCCACCCCATGACTCAACAGAGGCCCCCCTACCCCAGCCTCAGGAGCAGAAGGGGCAGAGAGGCACCGGCCGCCCGGGACACAGCCAGCTTGCTGTCTGGGGCCACCAGCTGCTCATCTCAGAGCAAGACCCGTGCCTGCTCCACATCACTGCTCTGAGTCAGACCCAAGTCCTCTGGGATGTTCTCTCAAAGGAAAGCAGAAAAAAAGTCTTTTAAAAAAGACTTGAACGCTTACAATCTAAAGCTAAATTACGTAAGCTGTGCCATCGGACCCAGAACCGCCTTGCCCAACCACCAGGAACCACCCAGACGTTCGTGAGAAATCAGCGGAGAGCTGCTGAGTAACGGCCCTGGCAATCCCCGGATCCTGACGTGACACAGCACATTCAGGAGGCCACGCGGTCCTTCAGGGTCAAGGGACACAAAGGGACAACGCGCACAGTGCACAGAATTAAAGACCAGCATGGGGCAGCCCTGGCGCAGGGTTGCTCCCCACCCAGGGCCGGATGCCCCCCAGCAGACCGTCCTCCCCTAAGACAGCATGGAGAGGCACCGGGCAAACCCACTCACCCACCGGCCTGAATTTCCAACAGTGCAGGTGACGATCCCCGGCAGGACCAGGCAGGAACCCCGTCGTCACCAGGAGCCAAAGCACCTCCGCTAGGTGATGCAGGCCCCCCTGGAGAAGCCCCGCGGCTCGCGCCCACGCAGGGAACCCGCGGGCGCCTCTGCAGAGCAGGTTCCCAAAAAGGGTCTGTTTGCATTCACGCCACTGACAGCCTCTAAGGGAGCTGGTATTGACCCCTGGGTGCCACCCCTGGCTGGGCACAGACGCTACGACAACGGGTACGAGCAGCACCTGGAGGCGAGGGGAGGTGCACCTGGGAAGGAGGAAGGTGATGGAGGGGGTGGGAGACACACTTCACCTGGGGGAGGGGGCTCGGTGCACGGGGTAGCGCACCTGGGGAGGAGACCCACCGGGGAGCTGGGAGAAGCAGGGAGGTGGGAGACGCACCTCACCTGGGGAGGTGGGCACGTGGGGACATGGCGCACCTGGGGAGGAAGCGCAACCCGGGAGGGGTGTTTGCGCTCCTGGCGGGAAGGCGCGTCGAGACGGAGCTGGCTCTCACCTCGCCCGGGGTGCACAGCTAGTTCCGCATAATGACGACCCACACCCAGACGGCGCGGGGCTGACGATGCTGACTCACCGTCCGCCGCGCCGCCGCCGCCGCCGCCGCCGATTCAAACGCAGCCCGCGCCCCGCCCGCCCTGCGTCGGGCCCGCCCCCGAGTGACGCAACCCTTCGGCCCGCCCCTGGGTGACGTAACCCTGAGGCCAGCCCCACCCACCCGGTGCCGGCCCCACCCCCGAACAACGCAACCCTCCTACTCACCGCGCGCCAGCCCCGCCCCCGGCGACGCACCCCTTAGATCTGCGCCGGCCCCGGCCCCGCCCCTGGTGACCAAACCCTTTGGCCCGCGCCCGCCTCGCCCCCGCCGCACCTGTCGGGGCGCCGCGGGCAGGTGCGCGTGGGCGGGCCCCGCCAGCCCGAGTCCTCGGAGTCCCCAGTTCCTTGCCGCCCTGTATGTGGGTCCCCAGGGGGGCGCGCACCTCCTGACACCGGCCCCTGGAGGCGGTGTGCCCAAAGCCCACGTCCAGGTGCCCGAAGGGGCTTCGCCTGGCAGGGCCGCTTTTGTTCAGGTGAAGGACCTTCCCTCCCGTCCAGACACGCTCCGATGTAAACGAGCACACCACGGAGCACGCCATGGCCCCGGGCCCGGACCCTTGCCCTTGAGGTCGCTGCGAGCCAGGTGACCACAGCTCCCGCGGCCAGGCCCTCCGTCTCCTCCATATTCCATCTGGTCTCTGGATGAAGGCTTTCCCACCCTTGACTCCCGGCCACTCCCGGCAACGCGCTCCGTCAGGACTATTTCGGGGTCACTGTTTTAATCGGAAACCCGCTGGTATGAAGGGGAAGGCAAAGGAAAGGAAATCCGCCAAGTGCCCTGAAAGGATTCCACTAAAGCCACCAGTCACACGGTTAGTCTGCAAACAGCATCTACTCACCAGCGCTTACTCATTCCCTGTGGGCAGAGCACCGTAAGGCCAGAACCCGAGCCACACCAGCCTACGTGAGGCCGCCGCCGCGTCTGCACCCGCCAGCCCCAGTAGGTAGGGCAGGCTCTTGCCAGGCACCCCGCAGCCTGGGGGTCCTCAGCAGCAGGAAGGCGGATGGCGAGGGCCCTCCTGGGACCAGAGGGTAGCTCTGAGGACTCCTAACTGGGCCCGTAGACTGGGGTATGACAACCCGTGATGATCTCCAGAGAAAACGACGACAGCAGCAGCTCCTGATTCTAACAGCAGTGGCACCGAAAACGTACTCTGTCAGCAGGCAATGCTACCTCTGGGCAGCTGGTTCAGGGAACACTTAGGTGAGCGGAAGAAGGACCTGCAAACGCTCCGTGACACAAACAGGCCGAGGACCCCGATGGAAGGGTGACGGCTGGGGACACTGAGAAGACGCGGATTCCCTGGGGGCCGCCACACTGCCGCGAGGCCGCTCTCGAGGTGCAGGTGCCCCCAGCTCTATCCGTTTGGGGGTCTGGGGGCAGAGCTGAATGTGGCCTCGCCTGCTTAGGGCAGGGATTTTCTTCCCTGATCAGGAGTCTCCAATTTTACTATGACTACCTGTGAACTGGGAAAATAAGCTTTTCTTTTTTTTTTTTTTAAGCTCTGTGTTTGACACATAAAACCCAAAACAGTAAAATCAAACATGCCATTCAGAGCAACAGCTTCCTGGCTCCTTTCCAGCTGGAAACAAAGGCGTCCAGCACGCACCACCGCGTGTGCCCAACCCGGGCTCGCGTCTTTAACCACACGTGTCCGGCAGCCAAGCGCCTCAGTCCAGCATTCTCTAGGGGAGCCACTTAGAGACACACGATACAGACGGCGCTCCTTGCATAACTAACCACTCAGCCCCCAAGCGCGGCAGGGGACCTGCTCAGTGGCCAGACAGCTCGCACACGTGCCCCCCCCCACCTCCGAGTCTCTGCCGGCACGTGCGACTTGGCTGAGTTCTCCAGCCCACTGGCCACGTCGAGTCCACATCAAACCAGAGACCTCTGTGGTTCAAGAGGGACACCTTGTTCCATCCCCCATTCCAGGTCAAGCTAAAACACACGTGTGGTTGGTTTCGCTTATAAGAAAATAGACGCAGAACCCACCCATGAAGGAGGTAAGTCTTGAAGCAACGCGCCGGTCTAAGGGAGAGCCCGAGGGAGAGCCGCTGGCGGTCCTCACAGCCATGTGGACAGGATTTCCAGAAAAGCCCAGAGCATGGAAGCAGGAGTCACAAGTTTGAGTCCACCAAGGAAAGAAGGTCAGGGCTCGGGGGGAAAACCGGTGGGGGGATGGGGCAGCTGCACCAGGGGTCCCCTCTCTGCCCCCAGCTCCCCCTCCTGGGGGGAAAGGCCAGCTCGACTCCAGAAGATTCTTCAGCAGAGGAAGCAGCTCCGAGGCGGAGCCCATGCAGGAATGCCAGGGCTGTGCGGCAAGACATGCCCGGCCACAGAAGGTCTCCCGGTTGTAGATGAGTGACCCTTTAAAGACCCTCCTGAGAATGAGCACGGGGCGGGGAGCCCAGCCTGAGCCAGCGATGCGGACGCGCCCCGGGGTGGGCCACGACGCGGGAGCAGGACTGCGTTCACCTGTCCGGCGTCCCTCACATCAGCAGAAGGGACCACAGGGCTCCGTGGCCCCTTCAAGTCCAGGATTTGCCATCTGCATGGCCGCTGGAAAGATACTCTCCTTCCCGTCCTGGGCTGGCGTGACCGGGGTGCCCGAGTTTAAGGGGGTGGAAAGCAATGCGCACACACCACCGGGCCACCGGCCATGGACGTTTACCTCTGGGTAGGAGCATGCCATCCCCGGGCTGGCCACCTGGCGTCCAAGTGGTGCCCTGACACGGGTACACAGGGGCCTTCCCGGTCCCCTCCAGTCCCCAAGAGAGCAGGTGAAAAAGAAAGGGTGCGCTCCAGGACTCCCAGTGCAGAGGACGGACGGCACTGGAGCTAACTGGGCTGGCCTCTCACCGGAGCAACTTCCCTGTGGTGCCCACGGCCACACCGTCCCGGCCAACCCTGGGACAGAGAACACGGCAAGAGCCACGAACAGAGCCCCTGCCGAGTCTCCCTTTCCCAGGACAGAGATGGGGACTCGGGTCAGGCCAGCAGTGCGAGCCCTCCGCAGCTGTGGCCACAGGTCGCACTCTCCCCGCTCCACACCCCTCCTCTCCCCTGCTCTCAGGACAACCGTCTCCCTCTGGCCGGACTCCAATCTCCTGGGTCATCAGTCCCCAGACCCTCAAGGACTCCCAGCAGCTAAGGATCACTCAGCCACGCCACCGCCTTCAGCCGGCCTCGTCCCCAGACCCTCCGCTCTCGTCCTAGGGCCAGGAGGCTGCTGCTAGGGGGCGTGTTTCTAGATCACAGACAGTACAGCCACGGGACAGGTGCCCAATACACAGTGGCTTTTCTACAACAAGGAGCCTTCTGCCACATGTCCTGACACAGACCCCTGAAAAGATACAACGTGAGTGCGAAGTCAGGAAACCAGGGAAGTGTCAGACTTACCTGGGGCGGGCTCGGAAGCACCACTGGGGGGCTCGGGCGGGTGGGCGCAGGCCGGGAGGGTGGGCAGGGCGGTCGGGGAGGAGCTGCCGGAGCCGGTGCTGGACCCCACGCCAGGGGCGAGCGGGTGAGCCACTGCGGACACGGACAGGTGGTTCTGCGCGGAGACACAGAAACAAGATGAGTAGCGGGCGCGGGGAGCAGCCACGTGACTGCTCCGTGATGGAGGCCACGGGAGGGGGGCGCGGGGACAGTCACAGACGGGACGGCTGGCTAACGTCCAACCCCACAGCAAATATAACGCAGTGCGACTCCTCCAGATGTTTCAGAAGGTCTTGAACTGCCTAGTTGGTTGTGACGACCAGGACAGGCAGTCACTGGCTGCCAATCACCCAGGGACGGGCACAAATGCATCTAAAAAGTGTCCTATTTAATGGCCTTTTCTGCAGAAACCGTTTCGAGAGCAGATACACGGCAGTAAACAAAAAATCCACCAAAAGGCATCAGCAGAGAGCCAACACCGCTTCTGAAAACAGAAAAATAATCTCATGACCCAAGAAGGGTAAAAAGCAGAGGGCAAGGCGCACGACTTCACTCAGTAGCCACAGAGCAGGACAAGTGCGGTCCAGGAGCCCGGCCGGCAGCGCGGCGGCGCACCAACGACCCACAGCACCAGGACACGGGGCGAGCCAGGGCTCGGGGCCCTGCAGGTGGCACCCCAGTCACCGTGCTGTCGGGGACCGGTAGCCACGCGGAAGGGAGATGTGTGGTGTCTGGTTTTTGCTTCAAAACGGGACAGAAGTTAGCTTTGGGCAGGGGCCGCGCCAGCCCAGGCCGGGATGGCTTTACTACTTGGTCGGCCCCAGTTACGTTTTCCATGATGATGACGATGACGACGATGACAGGAACAGAAAGAACACGTGCTTCACGAGGGGAGAGCCACCCTGCACAGACGGCTCCTCTGAGTGTTTCCCGGATGGTGGCTGCGTTCAGCCCCCGGTGCAGACACCAGCCGCGAGCACAGGGGACACTGTGACAGCCCCTGCCACACGTGTGACATGAGCCTGAACCACCCAAGTCTGGAGAGCAAGGTCCCCGGGCTCCCTGGGCTCAGGCTCCCGCTCCGTCCCCAGCTGAGGCAGGAAGGCAGGGCAAGCAGCCCACCATCCCCCCACACGCTGAGCCCAGCTAGAAGCCGCCGGCCTGAGGCTCCTGCTGTGGCTTCCCCTACCCACGGAGTCACAGTGCAAAGATGTGTTCCTGGCAGACATCAGGTGACACTCCATCCTGAAACCTGAGGACACCCTCACTCGTGTCTCCCTGGGGCTACATGGAGGGAAGGTCCGGCACCGGCAGGCACACAGGTGTCCAGAGGCAAGTGAGGGGTCCCCAGAGGACCGTCAGGCCGGCCTCCAACCAAATGGCCTTCAAACTGGGGGGTCCCAGGGAAGTGCTGGGAGCCACTCGAGTGCCCTGGGAAGCCCCAGCGGGGCACCTGCTGTCCCGGAGGCTGGCTCTGGACGGGACGGAGGGCATCTCTGGGTACAGGTGGGCGGGAGCCTGAAGAGGAGCCTGGCAGCTTGCTCCCGGCTGCTGGCGGACATGAGGATGCGCTGGGGGCTGGGGGCCAGCGCAACGTGCCCCGGGGTGTCTGGGCCGGTGGGTGCCTGCCTGGGTCCCCCGGTGAACCGGTGGTTATCGCCGATGTGTCCAGGTTCAGATTCTTAATGAACATCTTAGAGTTTTGATTCCCTTGCAACATCACAAAATAACTAAGTTGCATTTTCACTTCCAATCCCTTTCTGCTGCTGTCACGGCTCCTAAGACGAGAACGAACCTTCGCGACTTGGCCCGGCCACGATGCAGAGCCCTCTGGGGGCAGCCGCAGACCAGGCCGGAGGGAAGCCGGGTGCGCCGCCTGCAGAGGACTTAGGAACAGAGCCCACAGCACAGATCACGATGAGAGGCGACATGCTTGCCCACAGGGGCACGTCGGCAGCCACACGGCACCCCAGGCCTTCCAAGCACGGATGGCGACAGAAAGATCAGTGTTCTGGGTGCTGAGAGCAGCAGCCAGTGTTAGCGGGGAACCACGTCCTCACGGGAAGCGGAAATCGCAGACAGCGCTGGACGCAGGGGAGAGCGCCAGGCGAGATGGAGGGCCCGGCCCTGCCCACGCAGGGAGGAGAACTTGGGGACCTCAAGGGCAGCTGGGGCTGTGGCTGACGCAGCCCCGTGGTGGGCTCTGTTCAGGAAGCCCCAAGACACACGCAGACGGGCCACGAAGGGCACCCCCCGCTCCCTGTGAGGACAATGCCGGGGGCTTCTGTTGTTTCCAAAGTGCAACAGCAGCATTTTCTGAACATTCGAATGAAAGACGGAGGCACAGGCCAGTTTGGGAAGAAGGCAAGTGGAAACACAAGGACACCACAGATGGACAGCGGCCGGAGAGGTCTATGGGAGCCTCAGCAGCCAGGGCTGCCCCCTGCAGTACCTGCTTGCCGTCCTGCTCGCTGGCCCGGTGGCTGCCCTCGGCAGGGGACTCTCTCCGCTTTGCCTGCAACAGAAGGAGGCAGTGGTGGGCTCCAGGCACACAGACCCCCAAGCCTCGCTCACGTGCACGAGGCCGAGTCCAGACGCCTCAGGAGACAGCAAAGGTGTTCATGTCGCTACCCTCCCTCGGGTCTGAATCTGTCTCTCCCACCTGCTCCCTGACCTCCGACCTCCGGGCTGGTCCTGGAGGGGAGGTGGGGCAGGAAGGAGGGAGCTCTGCACCGCAGCCCCCACTCCCCAAGCCCACCAGCGGTCAGGCTTGAGCTGGAAGCAAAGGGCTCTTCCACTAAAACTGCAGAAAGCCTGGAAGGCGGGGCAAGCTTCCTTCGTGAAGGCACGCCCTCCCCTCTCCCACGCCAGCACCGTGTTCACAGAACAGGCCTCACTAAGTAACCCTGGCCTGACGTTACTTCCCCCATACATTTACCGTCCCAGAGTTCACCACCCTGGAATGAGAAACCCCGTTGCTTTCGTCTTGCCGCTCCTGAACGGTTCACTGCTCGTTGTTAAAAGGGGCTGAAGCTGCCACATCTAACTGCTTCTCTATGAAGACTTCTAAATGGATACATAATAACCCTTTCCTCCTTTTATCAGTTTAATTTGCAGGGGCCCGGTCTTGAACCGAAGAGGGTAGTGGGAAAGGTTATTTTCTCCCCTACACATACAGAAACCCTGACTGACAAGCCACCTGCCAGGCCCGCTGTGCCCAACGAAGACTGTGCTCAGAGCTCAGCATCGGCTCTGCCCAGGTCAGCATCAACACAAGAACCGTGGACCAAAACGTCCTTCAGATCAATGGAATATTCTGATTTTTATGACTCATTTTACAATATGTGAATTCACAGCGGTGGCTCAGGGCATCCTGGCCTTTCTACCTTTTTTTGGCTTCTGGAATCACAAAAGAACCCAGAGTGATCCCCAGGGGGCGAGGTGGGGAAGGTGTCCAGAGAAGTGCTGACCAGGGCCCCTCCTTTTGCAGGGCAATGGGCCACGGGTTCAAGCCAGATACTTCTGGATCCCCTGCAGCTCTCTTGTCCAGAAGTGACCTCCTCGCTGCAGAGCGGGCTGAGGGCTTCCAAAGTCACTGACCAAAGACCTATCTATGCTTCCAGGCTAAGTGACACTGAGGAAAGCAAGGTTACCCCGAAACCATTCTGCTTGCCTTCAGAATATAGGGCTCCCTGTGGGCAACCTCATCCCTTCTTCCAGGCCTGGACACCCCACACCACATTCCTGTGACACCCAGTGTCAGCTGTCCCCATGCCAGTCCGATTCCAACACCCTCTGCCTGGGGTCAGACTGTCACCTGTGTTTCCGACCGACCACTGTCAATCAGGACGCACACAACTCCCCTCGGGCCTGGCCACCTTCTGAAAGAGCTCACAGGGCTTCAGGAAGGACTTACTTACATCAATTTATTGTGTAACGAACGACAAAGGGCAAAGAACGCAGCCAGCCAGAGCTGCACCGGCTGAGGTCCGCGAGAGTCCCACGTGCGGGCCGGGGCGGCCTTCCCAGCACGGAGATGCTCCCCACCCCGGAACTGGGGGGTTTTCACAGAAGTTCGTCCCATTAGCTCCATCCCCAGCCCCTTCCCGCCCCCCGGGCCACATGGGCTGGCGCAGAAAGTTCTGAGTTTCTAACCGTGGCTTGGCCTTCCCGGTGACCAGCCCCCGTCCAGGAGCGCGGAGGAGCCCACCCAGAGACACCACCTCAAAAAAAAAAGAAGGTTTTATCACCCAGGAAATTACACGGGTCTCAGTAGCTGTTGTCAGGAGCAACATACAGGTTTTCTAAGATTTCACAGCCTGACCCGGCGGACGAGCGCCAGCACACGGCGTGTTCTGGGCAGACAGGGCGGGTCTGCAGCGCACACGAGGGCCGGCGGCGTGCCGGGGAGACGTGCCTTCCCACCCCGCGTGTGAGCGAGGGAGTCCAGCCCCGGAGTCCTTGAACCCGGCACGGCGTCTGCACACAGGGAGACCCAGCTGTCCTCAGGTGTGCCCGACACAGGGACGCGGCCTGAGTGAATCTGACGGTGCCCCAGAGGCGCGTGGTTTTCGTGCCGAACCGCCACTGGCACAGACCTGCTCACGGCGCGAACGCAGCAGCGGGAGGCACACGGCGCACGGGCCAAGGTCTGGGGTTTGACGTCGACCCTCACAGGCGACGGTACTTGGGAGTGAGGCAGACCGAGGGGTGTGGCCGCGAAGCCCTCCCTGCACAGCGCCCACCCGTGTGATCTCGTCCAGACCTGGTGCCTGGCGGCGGCCAGGCCGGTGACGCCCCCAACTGGGCCCTCCCGGAGGGGCCGCTACAGCAGGAGACCTCAGGAAGGTCTGGGCCAGTGCGCCCCGGGGTTGCCGCCAAGATGGTCCGCACGGGCTCCAGACGTCAGAGCCGGCCCACAGGAGCGCGCTGCCCTGCTCGTGTTTTACTTTAACAGACACGAACTCACAGGAGCACAAGCCTCCCGCAGCGGAGGGCTCTGCGGCACTCGGCACGGGCACGAGGCTGTGGGAGCACAGACTAGCGCGCGTCAGACGTCCGTCCCCCCGGGAGCTTGCCCACGGCCAGGCACCCATTCTGCCCACAGCGGGTCCACTTTTTAAATTGCCAAATAACTTAGGAAAAAAACATAAAAGACGTTTGCACCAGGCCGTGTCCTCACCAGGCCGTGTGCGCCGGGTGTGGTCTCACGCTCCCACACCGTCCCGGAGGAGCCCAGGGCTTCCATCAAGCATGCTGCCTCCCTGGGTACAAACCGCCCCCCACAACAGGCTCCATGCAGCCCAGAGCCTCAGGGAGGCCCAGCCAGAAGCCGTCTGACCACCACCTAAGCCCACAACTGCCATGGCCCTGGGAACCACCAAGAGGAGAGAGGAAGGGTTTCCTGCCGTGTCAGTGAGGCTACGGGCCGACTGGTGGTCCAGAATGCTCTCGGCTCAGTCTGCCAGGGGCCACCTAGCTGGGCATGCAGAGGGCCTGGACACGAAGAGGGTCAATGGCACAGAGAGGGGGGGGGCCTCTGTTTGGTGGCCATGGGGGGGAATCATGCTAGACCCCCCCAGTGCTTCTAAGCCAGGATGGTGGGGACACAGCAGGCGCCCGACCGTCCTGGGCTCTAGGCTCAGACACCAGTACCCACGGGCAGAGGCCGCTCCATGCCGGCTCACCAGGAGCGCAGCCACGGCCAGGCAGCAGGACACAGAGGGGCGCAGGATGGCTTGCGACCCGGTGTCTCAGTGGCCAGGTTCCTTGCAAGTGAGTTCCACGAAAAGCACCCAGTGGGAAGGTGGGTGGGAGATGCCTACGCGCTTCCCGTTTCCTCAGACAGGGGCACTTTCTGGGGAACCCTGACAGCCAGCCGCCCCCGTCCTGCAGGAGGGGCCACTCTCGCACCCCCACAAGTGTCCAGGGGTAGCAGCCAGAAGGAGCCCCCGCCCCACAGACACGAGGGTCCCGACTCTCTCCGTGCCTTTAGCAAAACTGCAGCACCAGCCCCAGGCCCAGCTAGCCAGGGGCCTCCCGCCCTGCCCGGTCACTGCCCCTCCCACCACACTGCCTACCTGCGAGGGGTCCCGCCCGGACCCGGAGCCCCTTCCTGATGCCCAGCCCAACGCCGCATTTCCCGTGTGGTCGGAGTGCGTGTGTCCGGCGAGGCTGAGTCAGCCCACCCAGGCCGGAAGCCAGCCAGACTTGCACGGACTTCTAGAAGGAGCCGCCGACCCCACATAGAGACCCCGTCCATCCATGTCCCTAAACGCCATGAGGCCTGGGGTGCCCTCCCCAGGACCCTGTCCACTTACGTATGCAGGCCGGCCGCTGCTGGCCGCGGAGCCGCTGGTGGGGGCGGGCGCTGGGTCTCGGCAGCCCCCGCCGTTGGCCGTCCCGAGACTCTCTGCAAGGAAGGGGGGGGCGGGCCGTGAGCCCCCGCGGGCTGGAAACAGAGCCAGTGCAGGGTGGCCGGGTCCCGGGAGCCCCCACGCGAGGGAGGGAGGGAGGCCTGGTGACCACAGTCCTCCCAAGTGACGGGAGCGCCACAAAACAGACAAGGAATTTCTACGAGACCAGCCACCCTCCCCATTAGCATAGAAAGCAGACGGAAAGCCAGGGTACAACTGTCCTTACTGGAGCCTGGGCCCCACAGGGCAGGGTGGTCCCTGAGCGGGGCGGGGGCCCGGCCCAACACGGCCCTAGAAGGCCTGTCGTGGGCTGCCAGCTCCCCTCCTGCTCCAGGCGAGCGGGAAGCCCAGTGGGAGGGGAGCCGCGGGCGGCCGCGTCGGGCACTCACTGTCCACGTGTGCGAAGGCGCAGAATGGGCCCCGTGGGCAGTACCCGCTCTGCCGCATGTCATTGCACTTGGTGGATTTGTAGATCTAAGAAACAAAAGCAAAACAACGAAATCAATAAAACTCAAAATAAAACAGGGATGCCCGGGTAGCTTGTCAGTGAGGCACCAGGCTCTTGGCTCTGGCTCGGGCCACGGTCTCAGGGCCCGGACCCCACAGGAAGCCAGGGGTGCCACGTCACAGCTCAGAGGACCCCACTCCCAGTGTCCGCAAGGCTTCCTGAGGACGGGTGCGCCGGGGTCCCCTCCCTGCCACAGAGCAGGTTGGACTGTCCTTGAAATCACACGCAGAGTCGACTGACCACTTAGCGTTTTCCGTAAGAGGCCCCGGATTCCGGGCGCGGCATACAGCGGCCACTCAATAAATGCCCGCGACGTGAACACGGGCGTGAGCTCCACGGTCAGCCCGGAGCCGCCTCACCCAGATCGGAAACGCACTCACGGTGCCTACAACACTCGGTGCTGGCCACCAGCTCCCCAGGACCCTTGAGGGACAGACCCCCAGGCCCTCCGCACCCCCACCAGATCCCACCCAACATCCTAGGGAAGCCTTCCCCTGCCTCCCACCTCCCCTGCCCCACGAATGCCACTCACTCTTCACTCTCCTTCCCTGGGGCTTCCGGGACCCGGGCCAGAACAGGACCCCCCGCCCGACAGCCAGCACAGGCCACACGGCAGCCCTCCTCCCGGGCCCATCGCCTGGCCTAGGCACTGACAGGTCCCCATTCCCTGCTCACCGACTTGACTGCTCCACCCCTGTCCCCGGCTCTCCCCACCCGGCCCCCCTCCTGCAAGCGGGCTTGGTTCACAGGGATCAGCACACCCCACCCTCCCCACCCGCCCTCGAGGCCTCATGCTCCACCCGCAGCTGCCCTGGTCCTTGTGCTCTCCTGCTCCCCAAAGGGGCTGATCTGCTGGGGTTTTGTTGATTTTTTGATTTATTGATTTGGCAGAGAGAGCACAAGCAGGGAGAGAGGCAGGCAGAGGGGGAAGCAGGCTCCCTGCTGAGCAGGAAGCCCAAAGCAGGGCTTGATCCCAGGACCCTGAGACCATGACCTGAGCCGAAGGCAGAGGCTTAACCCACTGAGCCACCCAGGCGCTCGGTTTTGTTTGTTTTTTAAAGATTTACTTAACTGTTTGAGAGACAGACAGAGAGCTCGCAAGCAGGGGAGAGGCAGAGAGAACTTCAAGCAGACTCCCAGGTAAGCGCGGACCCCGACGCAGGTCCAGTCTCACGACCCTGAGCCCACAATCTGACCAAAGTCAAGAGCTGGCCGTCCGGCGGCAGAGCAACCCCCACACCCTGCGCCCCACTGGTTTCTTTCTTTCTTTTTTTTTTTTTTTTTAAGATTTTATTTATTTATTTGAGAGCGAGACAGTGAGAGAGAGCATGAGCGAGGAGAAGGTCAGAGGGAGAAGCAGACTCCCCATGGAGCTGGGAGCCCGATGCGGGACTTGATCCCGGGACCCCGGGATCATGACCCGAGCTGAAGGCAGTCGTCCAACCAACTGAGCCACCCAGGCGTCCCCACTGGTTTGTTTCTGACACAAACCCAAGCCGTGTGCTGCTCAGCTCAGCGGACTTTGGCCAACTACACCCTTCACCAGCTCCTGGGGGTAGGGGGGCAACATCTGAGCCCCTAGAATGTCCTGCCTGGGAAGTATGTCCGTTTACCTGGTCGTGCGCCACACCGGAGGGTAACAACGTGATTTATGGGGGCAGCTCTGGGCCCCACGGTCTCAGCTCAGCCTTGGGAGGGCGGGAAACTCAACCATGGCCACATGACCCCTAATGAAAACCCTAGACACTAAGAGCCAGGGGGGTTTCCCTAGTTGGTGACACATTACCGCTGAGAAAAGTGGGTGCTGGCCACACGACCCGCTGGAGGACAGAGCGGGGTGCTGGTGCCTGCTTCCCGGGGACCCCGCCCCACGCGGATTTCGGCCTGTCTCCTGTCAGTCGTGACCCCTAACCGAGGGCACCACAGCACTGCTGGGCTCTGTGAGGCCTTCGAGCAAATCACGGGACCCGTGGGGGAGTCCGGGGGACCCCAGACCCAGAGGGAGACCCGTCCTGGCGCAGGCTGGGAGGGGCGCCGTGGCTCATGTGTGAGACGGACTCGTACCTCGGGGTGGAACTGCTGCTCCGCGCGGGAATGGCAGTACTGACAGCCGTCCCCGCTGTCACACCTCGCGGGCTCGCCCCACTCGTCACCGTGCTTCACGCTGGGACACGGGGTGGACCTGGGGGCACAGGGTGGGGTCACCAGGGACACAAGAGCAGGGGTTCTTCCTGCGCGCCCTGGGCCATCCGGCTGTCGCGGGATTCCCCCACATGCAGGACAGCGCACGTGGCCCCGGACACGCCGTCTTCCCACCAGGACACGCGAAAGCAGGCCGAGCGCCGCCTCGACCCAGACGGGGACTCGGGAAGCCTGTTTCTATTTTCCACAAAAGGTAAAGCGAGGCTGAGTCCACGCCCCCCACGGTCACGAGTGGAGCCCATGGGGGCAGTGGCTGGACCCCTGCAGCCGGGGAGCCGGCGGGCCGGGCCGCGCACATCGAGAACCCGCCCCCGGGCCTCGCTGTCCCTGCACTCGCGGGCAGCGGGACTGCCCTGTCCTTGGATTTACAGGAAGAATCACCCGCAGAAGGAAACGGGTCGTATTATTGTTATTCTCTGGCACACGTGTGGCCTGGACACACGGGAAATTCCCCTCCTCTTCTCCGGTGCGTCCCTGGGGTCACAGGGGTGACTCGGCCTCCGCTGAGGAGCGCCCGCGGCCCCGAAACGACGGGGAGGGAGAGCCCCGGCCGGCCGGGCAGGCTCAGCAGCGGCGAGTCCCTGCACGGACCCGGCGGAGCTCGGGCCGGGCCCCCACGCCCCAGGGCTCACCGGTACTGGAACCTCCTGGGGTCCCGGCGGCGGTCCCGGCTGTTGTGGTAATGCGGGCACGCGTAGCCCTGGCGGCACAGGCGTGGCGGCTTCGGGCACTGCTCCGTCTTGTAGCTGCCCAGCACGAAGTTGGCGTCTGAAAAACAGGGGTCGGCGTGGGAACGTGTAAGGAGGAGCAGCCCCCGTCTCGTCGACGGCCCAACACGAGGTGTCCGCCCACGGCCGCGCACGGAGCGCGGCGCCGACGCCCGCCACAGGCCGGCGAACAGAGAACCTGCTGCTCGGGGCGTGGCCAGACTCAGGGGACCAGCGACCGCGGGGTCCCGCCACGGACCCGCTCACAGAAAGGGCGCGGGGGCGGTGGGGGTGGCAGGCACGGGGCTGGCCCAGCGGCTGGGACAGAGTCTCACGCTAGCTCCCGACGGGGCTGCTTGACCCCGAACGTTCTGGAAACCCTGCAACGGACACCTGAGCTCTGATGTAAACGAAGGACTCTGGGAGGGAAGAGCTCGTCCTCTCTGCTTGCCGGGGCAGGGGACACGTGTCCTGCAGCAGCAGGGATGGGGACACGGAGCACAGGGAGTCACGGGATGTGCAGCAACCCCCTGCCCCTTCCCATCCGTGGAACCAAACACTCCCCCCCCCCCAAGCAGGTCTATGTTTTAAACGGTTAATTTCACGCTCTTTGAAGGGCATCTCAAAGCAAAAACCTGCAAAACGCCACTGGGGTCATTTAAAAGCGGAGCCGACAGGACATTGTAGAAACCGTCCTGCTCTCGGGCTGGCTGCTAACGGGCGAGCGCTGAGCTCCGTGCTGAGGGGCAGCGGGCAGCCGCGGGAGGGACAGCCCAGCCCTCAGGAAGCGTCTCCTGGTCCAGCCGTGCCGGAGTCCGTCTCAAACACGTCATCAAAGACAAGAGCGGTGGCCCACACAGGAGGCCGTGGAGAGAGCAGAAGGGGCTTGAGGAACAAAAAGGCCGACTTTGAGAAAATAAAAATTACAGAATACGGATTCCCAAACGCTGACCGCGTGCCCGCTGCAGACACCAGGTCCTGCCGAGTGCCACAACGCCGGCGGAAACGAGCCATCTGCGGCGAGCGGGCGACACAACGGCTCCTTAAAGCCTCCGACGCTGCAGCGAACGTGAAGGCCACACGTCCGGAAAGTCGGCCGCGAGCGTGGGTGCCCAGCTCCCGGGCAGGCGAGGACGCGGTCTGCACACTCCCAGGCGTGCAAACGCACCCCAGGGGCAGCACACACATCCCACCCTCGGGGCAGAAGACGCCCAAGACACAGCCTATGACCCCAAAGTCCTTCGGGAGGTGATGGACACAGGCATGGTGGCCCGTCCCGACAGTGGGCTCTCAGCGGGGAGAAGACACGAGCCAGCGAGCCCTGGAGGAAGGGAGCCCAAGAAGCGACACCCTGGACAATTCCAGCTACGGGACATTCTGGAAAAGGCAAAGCCGTGGGAACAGAATGATGGCGTAAAGGACCAGGGGTCTCCAGGTGCTGGGGCAGTGGCAACAGCCTGAAGGCCGCTGCAGGGCAGACACAGGACGCACTTGTCCAACCCCCCTCCCGGCCCGCAGAGCCCTGATAGAAACCACGCTCGCTGCTTAGTGACAAAGCGTCAACCTCTGCTTAGTGACAAAGCGTCAATCAACGTTCCCTGATTGTTACAAACGTATCAGGCTGGTACAGGTGTCTATGACCCGAAACGAGGATGGGGGGCAGGACGGGGAGGCGTGGGACCCGGTGCAAGTGTCTATGACCCGAAACCAGGATGGGGGGGCAGGACGGGGAAGCGTGGGGGCTCGCACTACCCGCGACTTGTCTGGAAATCTACAGAGATTTACCTACGGTAAAATCTGCTAATTAAAGAGCCCACCCCCACCTCAAGGCCGCTCTGGGACAGGAAGCCCAAAGCAGCAGGGCCCGCGGCAATCCGCTCCCCGGGGGCAGCCGGCGGCTGACCTCACCACAGGCACCCGAACGTAGAGGTCCGAGCAGCCTGGGGACCAGAGCAGCCTGGGCTCAGATCCCACTCGGCCACCACCACCCGAGGGACTGGGGGTAATGTGCGCGGCAGGAGACTCCGTTTCCCCACCCAGTCTCCAGACAAAGAGTGGGTCAGCTGTGCGGTCACTTTGCAGACAGAGACGAGCGTCAACCACCACCCCCACACCCACGGCGGCCTCGGGTTACCTTGCCACCGGGGGTCCTCACCCAGGATCTTCTCGATCATGGCCTGGCTGGCCAAGACCCCGGGCTGCAGGTCGGGGACACCATCCGTGCTGCACAGCTGGCCGTCCTGCAAGGCTTCCTGGGCCTGCAGCTCCCTACAACCAAACCACACGGCAGTCACAGCTCCGCCGCGGGCTGCCTCAGCCCTCCGCGCCAGCGAGACAACGGTTCGCCGCTGTCACCCTGTGCGGCTGCCTGGAAGGCTCCCGACGGGCGTCCCTCGGGCACAGCCCGAGATCCAGCCCCATCAGAGCTGCACGGCGGTTGGCGAGGCCCTGGCTGCCTCCCTCAGGCTCGGCCCCGCGAGCTCCCACTGGCGTCGGAAGGAAGGAAACCATGTCGCCGGGGCAGGGGCAAGGCCGGGCAGGGAGTGCCTGCCCCACACACCTGATGTCGCACACAGGTGGCCGCAGGTCCAGCGGGCCGTGTGCAAAGGCGCAGTGTGGCCCGTTCTTCGCGCAGTGGCCCCGGGCGTCCGTCTCGTGGATGCACGTGACCGTCTTGTAGTAGCGCAGGTGGTACTTGCGCTCCGTGTCCCCGGCCGTCCGGTGCAGGTGCGGGCACCTGGAGAGCAGAGGGGCCGGCACAGGCCATCTGAGGCCTCGGGGCTGTGGGGACCCGCTCAGCACGGACCTGCCCCACCCCGCCTGAGGAGCCAGCCACCCTGTCTCACCGCAGGACCACCACCCCGGGCACAGCATCCGTCCCCAGGCGCGGAGACCCCCACGAATCCCTCCACTGTGCGTGGTAGAAAACACTACCGGGTCTCCCTGGAATCATCCTGGGTCATGCTGTGGCCGCGGACAAACGGGGCTCCCCTCCCGCAGCCGGGCACGCCCTATCCCTGACAAGCACTATCAGACGAGGAATTGGCGGTCACTCCCGTCCCACCCAGGGGCTTTTGGGGACCCCTCGAGGGAAGGAGGGGTCTGAACATGGCCGGAGAGGGACACTGGTTGCTCAAGAGAGAAGCAGGTGCAGGGGGAGGGGCAGGGTCACGTGCGGACACGGGCCACTCGAGCCCGGGGGCAGTCCGTGCGGCTCCCCAGGCAGTGAAGGGCTCGAGTCGCGCGGGGGAGACCGGCACACGTGGAGCCGGGCCCCGAGCCCCCTCGCGGTCAGTCCCTCTAGACAAGAGCCACAGACGCACAGGAGCGACGAAAGGAGCCTGAGCCAGCCATGCCCCAGAGCCGCCCGCGGAGTGATGTGGGAGCCTGTCACTGCCCGTCCCCTCCAGCGACGGCTGGGGAGCAGCGCGGGAGGCTCGGGCAAGGCCAAGCCCCACCTCGCTGCGCCACGCGTCTCCCCACAAGGAGCACGGACCAGACCCGGAGAGAACGGCTCAGGGGCCCCCTCACTCTCAACCCCTCTCCCTGCAGTGAGGAAACACAGGCTCGGCCCTCGCACCGGGGCACCCAGACCTCCAGGGCACCCATGCCGCACACAGCACGAGGAGACAGGACTCCATGCCCAGCCAGACAGTCCCTCAGAACCAACCAAGCAGCCACCAAAGGGGAAGCCAGCGGGCGGGCCAGGCAGGTGTGCTCCCGGGATGCGGCCAGAAACGCACTGGACACCTAGAGGACGTTCTGCTCAGAGAGAGAAACCAGACACGAAGGGACGCGGCCTTACGATGCCGCTCCAGGTGGTCCCAGGAAGTCAAAGTCAGACCAACGGGCTGAGGGGGGAGCATGGGCGCGAGCGGCCCGGGAACCAGCGGGACCCAGTGCAGAAGGGCAACGCCTGTGTGCGAAGCTGGAAGGAATCTGGAAGCAGAGACTGGGGACGGGTGCACAACCCGGTGAGAGCGCTGAGGGCCGCTGCACCGCGCGCGGAAACGTGGTTAAAATCACACGTCTCACAGCACGCGCGTAACCGAAAGCATCAACAAAACCCCCGGGGCCAGAGGAGAGAGGGGAGAGAGACCTGACCTATTCCTACAGAAAGGGGTGCTCACAGCGCACTGCAACGGGAAGGGAGGCGACTGCGCACCACAGGGAATCCCTCCAGTCAGCCTCGGGGACAGTGGCAGCCGCTACCGATGCCCAAAGACGTGTGAGGCACAGAGAGACGTCCCAAGACGCCTCGGTCTCACTTTGTGAAAACAGAGAACGAGGACCACGTTGCTACTGCGCATCTGAGACCAGAGAGCCCTCCCCAGTGGAGGTCTGGTGCAGGCATGAGTGCGAGCGCCGCCTCGCCCCAGGCCCCGCTGCACCAGCTGCGTGTCACACGTCTGCCATCCCCCCAGGCTCGACCCCGCATGTGCACAACACACTGGTTTGTGACTCAATCCGGGGCAGCCACAGAGACCAGCATCACTCGCAAAGAGCACTGACCGCGCTCCCTGCAGGTGCCCCCTGCCCCAACCTCCCATCCCAGTGTCACAATGTCACGGCTCGGCCCTCATTCCCTTCCTAGCAGCCCCTCGGCAAAGCGCTAAGCACCCTCTGCTTTCCTTGCTGGTGCTGTTGCCAACGCAACCAGAGCCTGCCTAGTCCCCCTGCCCGGGCCTCAGCACTGAGCATGGAGCACCGAGCATGAGCACAACCACCGAGCACAGAGCAACCAGCACCAGCACAAGTGCCAAGCATGGAGTACTGAGCACCAGCAGCAAGCATGGAGCAGCAAGCATGGGGCACTGAGCACCAGCACCAAGCATGGAGCAGCAAGCACAACTACCAACCACGGAGCACCAGCATTAAACAAGGAGCAGCAAGCATAGAGCATGGAGCACCAGCACCAAGCACGGTACTTGGAGCACCAGCACAAGCGCCAAGCACAAAGCATAAAGCGTCAGCATAAGCACCAAGCACACAGCACGACCACCAAGCAGAGAGCACCAAGCATGGAACACAAAGCACAAGCACAGAGCATGGAGCACCAGCACAAGCACCAAGCACGGAGCACCAAGCATGAAGCACGACCACCAAGCACCAAGCACAAGCACCAAGCATGGAACACCAAGCACCAGCACAAGCACCAAGCATGGAGCACTCAGCACAACCACCAAGGAGAGAACCCCAAGCATGAAGCATGACCACCAAACACAGAGCACCAAGCACAGGGCATGGAGCACCAGCACAAGCACCAAGCATGGAGCACCAAGCATGGAGCACAGAGCACCAGCACAAGCACCAAGCACAAGCACCAACCACAGAGCATTGACCATGACCAACAATGAAAGAGCACTGAGCATAGAGCACAAAGCATGCAAAACAGAGAGCACCAAGCACGGTGCATGGAGCACCAGCACAAGCACCAAGCATGGAGCACTGAGCACCAAGCATGGAGCACCAAGCACCAAGCACAACCACCAAGCAGAAAGAACTGAGCACAGTGCACAACCACCAAGCATGGAGCACTGAGCACCAGCACAAGCACCAAGCATGGAGCACCAAGCACCAAGCACAACCACAAAGCAGAGAGCACTGAGCACCAGGACAAGCACAGAGCAGCAAGCATGGAGCACCAAGCACCAGCACAAGCACCAAGCATGGAGCACTCAGCATGATCATCAAGCAGAAAGCACAGAGCATGGAGCACGACCACCAAATACAGAGCACCAAGCACAGTGCATGAAGCACCAAGCATGGAGCACCGAGCACCAGCACAGAGTACCAAGCACGACCACCAAGCAGGGAGCACAGAGCACAGAGCACAACCACCAAGCATGGAGTACAGAACACCAGCACCAAACATGGAGCACCAGGACCAGGACAAGCACCAAGTACATAGCACTGAGCATGACTACCAAGGAGAGAGCACTGAGCACAGAAAACGAAGCACGACCACCAAACACAGAGCGCCAAGCACAGTGCGTGGAGCACCAGCACAAGCAACAAGCACAGAGCACCAAGCATGGAGTACCAAGCACCAATACAGAGCACCCAGCAGAGAGCACTGAGCACAGAGCACCAGCGCCAAACATGGAGCAGCAGGCACAGAACATGGAGCACCAGCCTCAGCACCAAGCACAGAGCACCAGCACAAGCACCAAGCATGGAGCACTGAGCACAACCACCAAGGAGAGAGCACTGAGCACCGAGCACAAAGCATGACCACCAAACACAGAGCAGCAAGCACAGTACACAGAGCACCAGCACAAGCACCAAGCACAGAGCAGCAAGCATGGAGCACCGAGCACCAGCATGCACCAAGCATGGAGCACTGAGCACCAGCACAAGCACCAAGCACAGAGCACTAAGCATGACTACCAAGCACAGAGCACAAGCACCAAGCATGGAGCACTAGCACAAGTACCAAGCATGGAGCACCAAGCACCAGCACAAGCACCAAGCATGGAGCACCAGCACAAGCACCAAGCATGACTAAGCAGAGAGCACCAAGCATGGAGCACGAACTCCAAGCACAGAGCACCAAGTACGGTGCACGGATTACCAGCATAAAGCACAGAACAGTAAGCATGGAGCACCGAGCACCAGCACAGAGCACCGAGCATGACCACCGAGCACAGAGCACTGAGCACCGAGCACAGAGCACCAAGCACAGAGTGGGCATTATTATTTCACACAGGCATGACCTCAAGACACTGAAGGGCTCTTACTTAATGAAAGAAAATGGTTCCACCTTGGGAAGGTCTGAGAAGTGAGGAGAGGTCTCAGAACACAGTGGCAAAGCCAGACCCTCTCTGGGGCGGGGAAGAGCTGGGGCTCAGCCCAACACGGCACGAGCATTCTTCCTTGCAGGAGCCCACTAGCTCCTGGGCCACGGCTGATCCCGCCACCCCCACGATGTACCTAGGTGTGACTCAGTTCTGCTGAGCACCCAATTCAGGTGATGCCCTCGGTACTCAAGCCATCCGCCACAATCAGTGACCCAAACCGTGGAATTCAACCAGCATGCCGTCAAGGGCATGCGGCACGTGCAGGAGACCAGCACGACCCCAACATGCTTGAACCCGTGGGCCAGGGAGCACAGAGCAACAGACCGGGGGCTCAAGACTGCCCCTACCTCTCCAGGACAGTCTGAAGCTGTCCCCCTCCCTCTGGTAGCCCTCACCAAGATGGGTCTGTGAAGGGACACAGAGATGGCCCACCAAGCTCGGACCCACTGCGCATCAGCACCGGCCAGGAGCACACTGGGGCGTGCGTCACAAGCCCCGGAAGGGCTGGCCAATCCCAGAAGGTCTGATGCTGCCAGTCCAGGTGGGAGCCTCAGATCCCACCTGCAGGAGAGCCCCAGGTGACGTCAATGCTACTGGGCTTTAAGGGGGACTCCCTTTAACCCAACTCCCTGCCAGCCCCCAAGGGGCTCAGAGTGGGGGGGACCTGAACACAGCACACAAATAAGTAACTGAGGTGTGGAATGGAACGGGCCAAGCCACCAAGGGCAGCCACGGAACACAGGAGATAACATGAACAAAGGGAGGACCCATGGGCCGCAGACAACTGGGGGCAGGGAGGTGGGGGTGGGTAGATGGGGCTTCTGGGAGAAGCTCGAATGTCATGGCACACCCACCCCTCCTCTCCGATGCTAGGGGAGGGGGGCTACCCACTAACCCCATGTTGACCATGCCCAACCCCTCCGCCCTGCGCCCCCAGTCTCTGGACCTCGGAGCCAGGCCAGTGACCTGGGGCTAGTCCCTCACAGGGACCAGCAGCACCACCAACAGGTGTCACTCCTCCCTGTGTCCCTACCAAGCTAACACCCCATCTGGAAGACAGAAGGTTCCAGTGGCCTGCAAGGGGCCTCCCTGTGCCCGGGGCCGCCTCCTGGTCACCTCCTCCACCCCTGCCCCTTCGCTCTATGGGGTTCCCCCAGGCTAACCTGGTCACCTAATTCCCTCAAGCTGGCTAATGTGTCACCTAAAAGCCTGTGTCTTCCAGACCATAGCCCCCTGACCATGGGCTACACGGCTCTAACCTTCAGGACCTGCCCTTGGCTCTCACCTCACCCCAAACACCCAAGTAGAGTTCACTGGTAAGACCAGTGTGCGGCAAGCGTACAGCTACCCCGCAGGGAAATCCACCCAAAACTGGGGACCGCAGACACTAGGGTCTCTGAGCAGAGCAGACAGAGGCAGGTGTGGTGCAGCAGACGCTGAGGACTGCGGCTCTGAGCCACACCTAGGCGTCCAGGGGCAAGCCCACGGAATCACACACCAACAGCCCACCTGCTCCAGGGCCTGCGTCCTGGGAGACCCCAAGCGCAGTGAAGAGGGGGCTGTGGGGACAAGAGCCAGGCCTGCCAGGGGAACTCTAAGGAACGAGTCGGGCCGTCTCTTATCCAAGGATCGGGAGGGCCACTCGCCAGGGCAGGAGCAGGGTCAGCAGAGGAGACTGGTTACTCCGTACTCGGGGTAGCTGGGGGCTGCTTGTTTCCCCAATGAAAAGGTTCCCCAGGAGAGGCCCCGAGGACCCGGGCGAAGGGAAGCCCTTTCCTCTCCTTTGCCAAAGCCAACCTCAGGGAAGACACCTGCGCACGCACGTGCTCTCGGGCAGGGGGAGGGGCCGACCACGGGCGGCTCGCAGGTGCGAGCACGGACACCAGCCCCTCGGGCCTGGCGAGCGGAGCAGGGCCGAAGGGGGCCTTGGGCTGTCCACACGGACCCGCTTTCGGGACGGGGCCGACCTGAAAACCCTCGGCACAGGCGTGGCCTTCCTTGAAGCCCTGGCCTAAGAAATACCTGGGACGGATCCTCCAAGAGGGAACACCGGCGCGGTGCAGCCTCTGCTCCGAAGCGGCCTCCCGCACCGCCCACCCTCCCCGTCGAGTGCTAAAGGCGCACGGCGCGCAGCGGAACCCCGCGCTCGGGCCGCGGGGCGGGGGCACGTGACCCGCACGGCCAATCGTGGCCGTCCCCGGGGGAAGGGGCGTGCCCGGCAGAGGGGGCCGCCCCCAGAGAGCGAGGACCGCGGGCCTGGAGCGCGAGATTGATTTCCCCGCGCCAAAGGGGGGCCCGCCCGCCCACAGAAGAGGATCGTGGCGGGGTGTCTCTGGGGAGGGGGAGATGACAGCGGGATGTCTACCCAGAGGGGACACTGGCGACACCACGGGGGGGAGAAGGGGGCCCTGGAGGAATGGGTGATGGCGAGAGGGAAAGGGTGACCACCCGCCACGGAAAAGAGGTGTCGGGGGGGAGGGGCCACAGGAAGAGGAGTGACAGTGGGGGGAGAAGGTAACCGTCAGCCTAGGAAACGCCGTGACAGCAGGGGTGCCATCCCTCCATCGCTGTCTTGTCCTGCCCCACAGCTCAGCTGAAAGGTGGCCCCAGCCAGCGCTAAGACCAACACTGGATGCTTGTGTCACCTGACGAGGGTTCGGCTCTCTCAGGGTGTTCATGCTTTAAAATAACAGGTTGGTAGTACATATGCCCCAACCAGAACTTTCAAGAACCCATGAACTGAAATGAAAAGAAGGTTCTGTCCTTGCTCTGAAAGGCACAACCTACTTACAAATTCCATGAGGATGCTACGCGAGCCAGTCAAACGGGACAAACTCTGGGCCACTCCTCTTGTGGGGGATGAGAAAGCCCCTCTCCCATGCAGTGGAGCACCAATTACTAAGGAGAGATCCCCAGGGGACATGCATGCCACCAAACACTTCCTAAAGGGTTGATGCTCAAGACAAGGGACAAACTGTTTACTTAGATGTGTGACCTTCTCACTGTATGGACAGTCACAGGACGCACCCGCAACAGAAAAGGGCCAACAGGCAGCTCACTCCCACTCATCCTGATTCTCAGTGATGGCCTCCGTGTCCCTGAGATCACATGTCACTATTTCTGTAATCAATAACTGTGTGCTACTTAACTATTCCTGAGCCCCGCTGAAATGACCACGTGCAGGTAAGTGTCCACTGCTAACTCTTCATCCTGCAAGGCCGGGGTGCCATCCTAAGGCCCAGCAAAGGGGCCAGGTCAGTACCAGGACACACAGGCTCCAGAACCCCAAACAGCTGTTCCAATAGGCTTTGGCCACATGCATTAAGAGAATTAGTGAATACTGCCACTTGGTTCTCTAGGACAGGGTCAGACATGCTGGGTGACTGGATCCCTAGCACCAGGGACAAGCATCTGTACCCCAGCCCCCCGGGGTAATTCAGGACCCAAGGCCTGGGGGGGGGGTGACGGACATGGCCAAAGGAAATATGGGACCTGATGTCAGGCCTCAGCTAGACAAACACGTCCCTTCTGAAGACCCATTTGCAGAAAACATCAGCTCAAGAAACAAGTAACACCCTTGTAACACTTCACAGAAGCAGGGGTGCCTCAGGAGCTCAGTCAGTAAAGCGTCTGCCTTCGGCTCGGGTCATGTTACCAGGGTTCTAGGATCAAACCCCCCCATCGGGCTCCCTGCTCAGTGGGGAGACTGCTTCTCCCTCTGCTGCTGCCCTTTCCACCTTGCTCGTGCGCTCTCCCTCTCATTCTGCCTCTCTGTCAAATAAATAAAATCTTAAAAAAACAACTCCCCAGAAGCATCACCATCTTAGCAGGGGAGGAGCAGGGCACATCTCTTCAGCAGGATTCCAGCCGCCTCGACAGCAACCTTACTCATCTTGAACTCAACTTCACTTGCAGTAAGTGTAAGAGCGTAAAGTTTATGATAACACACGGATGCAAAGTTTCCTCCCTGGCCTGAGCATCTTTGGAAAATGAAGGGCAAGGGACATCCCTCTGCTCTCCCTGCAGCAGAGTGAACACAGTCTTGGAAAGGGAGCATTCCTGGAGACCAGCTCCTTTCAAAGGGTCAGGCGACCGAGCCTTGCAGGACCGCCCCCAAATCAGCGCTGGGTCTGAACAGAAGGGGGGCAAGCAGTGGTTACCAGAGGCCCTGGGGCCCAGGGAGACCGCCCCAATCCAGGCAGAGATGGACCAGCCGTCCTCCTGCCCCAACGGTCCAGGAGAAAAGTGAAAAGCCTCTGGCTACGGATTTCTGCCCACTCCGCGAACGCACACACTCTGACTTGTGCTCGCCTGTTTCCCAGTCTACATATTGCTGAATAAATACATCTGTTCATAACACCACGAAGAAACTTGTAAGAAAAAAGCCAACCAAAACAAAACCTTCGTTTCTTACATTTTAAGAGTGCTACGGAAATGGCAGCCTACAGATACGATAACGTCCCTACCAGTCTGTTACAGAGAAGTTAGACGACTGAGCCACAAGAAAGGAGCCGCTCCAGATACGCCTTGCCAGCGTTCCAGCAGCCCTCCGGCCGACAGCCACAGACAGCCTGGAACAGGTGCACATCCTAAGGGCTGGTTCTAACGCAGGGAGTGCGACCGGGTTCCCACGTGAGTGGGGCAGGAGGTCCTGAGCACCGGGTGTCCCTGAGACACACAGCCCCGCCGGCAGAGGAAAGCCACCGGCAGGCAGAGGAAAGCCACCGGCAGCCGCGGGAAGGCTTCCGAGGGAAGGCAGGACCCGCTCCGCAGACGGCCGCGCGGCCGTGGCGCACACTCACTCGTCGCCGTCGGGGCACACGCCGCTGGCCTCGTCGTACTTGGAGCAGTACACGTCCGGGCTGTAGTTGAAGGTGCCGTCCCGCCTGCGGAGCGGTCTACGCCGACGCTGATTTAGGAAATGCCAATGGAAACAGGTAAATGGCCTGTGCTGGGCGCACTTGTGCTGCACAAACAGGGCGCACTGCTCTGTCCTAAACTCCTTTAGATACCTAAAAAGACAAACAGCGTTGCGGGTCGCTTCCGCCGCCACCGCCGCCGGCGGGCGGCCTCGGGGACTCATGGGCGGGACCGGACCCCGCAAGCCAGGGCGCCCCAACCTCAGGAGCGGCCCCCACTGTGAAGGCAGATGACCCCAACGGCCGCCCCCAACCCCAGAGCGTCCCTCGAATCCCAGGCACAGTTCCCGACCCCAAGCGCAGGCAACCATCTCCGCCCCGAGGTGCGACCCTCCACTCTATGTCCGGTCGGCCGCCCTACCCTATCCCCAGCCCGGGTGCAAGTCCCCAGACCCCGTCCGCAGCACCCCCATCCCAACCACGGGCGCGACCCCCAAGTTCAGGCGCGACACAGCGACCCCGGGAGCGCCCCGACTGGGGACAGAGGCAGCCCGAGTCCAGACGGCCGCCCTCCCTCCGATCCCAGGCGCGACCCCCCACTCCCAGTGCAGACGGCCGCCCTACTCCCGGAACGGATTCGATTCCCCGGACGCCGTCCGCAGCATCCCCCATCCCGGCCCCCGACGCGACCCCCAACTTCAGGGGCGACACGGCGACCCCAGGCACGCCCCGAGCCCCAAGCCCTGGTGCCATTCCTGATCCCAGACGGAGGCAGCCCGGGTGCAGATGGCCGCTCTCCCCACCCCCCCGACCTCAGGCTCATTCTCCGCAACCCCCTGAGCTCCCTCCGAAGGCCCGTGGACCCCCGACTCCGGCCGCGCTCCCCAGCCCCCGCCCCCAGGTGCCGCCCCAGACCTGGGCGCCGCCGTTCGACCTCAGGCAGCGGCAGCTCGCGTCGGACGGCGGGCCACCCGCCCCTAGCCCAGGCACGACGCCGAGGCCGGGGCGGGGGCCGGGGGGCGGGCGGCGCGGGGCCCCAGGCCGCACTGGCGGCGGCACCCAGGCCCAGGTGAGCGGGGCGTGGGCCGGGGGGGGGCGCACGGGGCCGCCCCCGGCCCGCCCCCGTCCCCGCCGCGGCCGGCCCGGCCACTGACCTGTAGTGGGTCGGCTTCTCTGTCTGCGGGGGGGACCCGCTCAGCGCCGCCGCCGCCGCTTTCGAAACCGACGGCATTTTCAGTCAAAACAATGCAGCGCGCATGCGTCAGGCGGGCCCGCCCCCGCCCCTCCGGATCTCCCCCTGCACCGAGCCCCCCGCGACCCCGCCCGCATGCCCCGCCCCTGCCCCGCCCCCGCCGGCGTCCCGCGGACCCCAGACCCGCCCCGCGATCGCGCCCAGCGCCGGGCTCCGCAGGGACACGCCCCGAGCGCGCCGCCCCCGCCTCCGGTGCACAGTTCTGTGGCCCAGCGGGCTCCCCTCGTCCGCGTTCACGCCAGCCCGCGCTCAGCCGGACCGCGGCCCCTCCCGCGGAGCGTCCTGCACGACCCGGAGCAGGTGCCCCGCGTGGGACAGCGGGCTGGCAGGTAACACTCCACACCTTCATCGACTCTGCCCCCCAGGCTGGGTGCGGAGCTGCGAGGACCGGACGCCGTGGCTTAGGGCTGGGGGTGGATGTGGGGGGCCGTGGAGCGCTGCTTACGGGTACCCAGCTTTCTCTTAAGGATTGTGAACAGGTCCCCAAATTAGGTCGTGGTCATGGCTACCCCAAGTCACTATTTGAAACATTTTTTTCATTATATACTGCAAGGGGGTGAACTGTGTATCAGTAACGCTGATTTAAGAAAGAATCCAAGAGGCCCACAGTCAAGGGGGAGTCACACACCGTTCTCATCACCATGCAGACGCACTGGGGGGTAGGTTCTTGGGGAAGCAAGCGGCAGCAGCAGGGTCCTGGCTCCGTGAGCCCGGGGTAGGAGGGAGGGTGTGCACTTCAGGAGGGAGAACCTAGGCCCGGAGCATGCAGTTTTGTAAATATGGGGCATGAGACACTTTTGAAAATGTTCAACCCGGCTAGTAATTAAATTAGAAATTATCTTAAAAAGCAAGTGAAAGTAAGGCAGAGCCTATGGAGTGGGCATTTTCTGTTCTGAACAGAAACCCCCCAGTGCTGCAGCAAGACAAGCCCTTGAAGGAGGGCAGCTGGGACAAAGACTGAGATGATGAAAGGCTTTAGGGAACAGTTCCCCTGCCCACCTGCTCTGCCCTGCCCCTTGGAAGAGCCCAGGTTCCAGGAGGGCCTGCTCACACTGTCACCAGCCTGCCTTGGTCTTCCTTCTGCTCATGAGGCGGCCCACCGTGTCTGGGGTGTAAAGTCTGGAACCAGAAACATCCTCGCTGGCGGCTGCCCTAAAGATACTCAGGATTTGTTCCCATGTGGTACATGATGTTTCATCCAAAAGAGCACCCACCCCTGTGTTTTGAAAAGCTGTGCATTTATACACACAAAACGATCTGGGAAGGTAAACAAGAAAGAGTTCACAGGAGTTGGCTCTAGGCGGTGGGATTTTTATTGTTTCTGATTCTCCTTCTTTTGCTTATTATAGTCTCTAACTTTTCCAGATAAACCATATTGCTTCTGTCATATGAGAATTAATTTTAATCAAAACAAAAATTCTTTTCATAGGCCTTTTTCTTCCCTCTGCAGGAACTACTGAGAGAAAAGTAAGGGTCCAGGTTTGAACAATTTGCTCCAACAAAGTAGTTCACAATTAAACAGGTAACAACCATGCCAGGTTAGAGGAAGGACGGCTTAGTTCTTTGCTCCTGCTGGGATAAAAATGTAGCCTGAGCTACCATCAGGTCAATCTTTCCAAACCTTGATCTGTCTTTAAATAATGAACACACTTGCATCAGTTCTATTTCCCTACTGAGCCCAGACACTGACGGACGGAGAGTACTCCCTCACAGAGACCCTTCCGGAAGCCAGCACGCTGGCAGGCAGCCAGCAGCCTTCAAACACACCAATGAAAGAAATCTCCAGGTGAATTTGGGACATGCTAAGATAAAACCTTCCACCAGAAGCGTAAGTAAATAAAATCTTCCTTTTGTGCATCTTGTATTTAATTTAAAACTAAGCAGTTTCTTACTTATTACTTGAAAAGCCTATCATTTAAATGCCCAAAAATACTGTCTGCAGTTTGTCAAAACAAATACTTATCAGGGGCACCTGGGTGGCTCAGTCGTTGGGCGACTGCCTTCAGTTCCGGTCCTGATCCCAGGATCCTGGGATCAGCCCCGCATCGGGCTTCCTGCTGTGCGGGAAGCCTGCCTCTCCCTCTCCCACTCCCCCTGCTTGTGCTCCCTCTCTCGCTGTGTCTCTCTGTCAAATAAATGAATAAAATCCTTTAAAAAAAAATCACCAAGAAAAAGGAAAAAAAAAAAAGAAATACTTATCAGTCTTATTCTATTCAGAAAATCTGGTGACCTTTTTCTGTCACCAGAAAACTGTTACACCTAAAAATCTGTAGAGCTGATGAAGTTCATTATTTCCGGCATCCTTTGTAAATCCCACAATTTACATTTAGATTTCTTTCCTCAGTTCCTACTCTGGGAACACAGAAGAACAAAGGAACTGGAAAGGACTAAAAGTCTCCCCCCCCCTTATTTTTCTAAAATGAAACGCAAACAAAGGGAGGGGATCGGCTTAATTCCACATTACCAAATTAAAATGTACTGTCAATTAGTTTGTAAAACTAAGAGCAATTTCTACGCACTACAGTACACTGCAATCGGAAGGTTAACTCTTCCGTCCCCGAAAGCAGAAGACCCGCGAACTGGATCCGGGGATCACGAGTGTCACCAGCACCGCTTCGGAAACGCGATCGCGCGCCGTAGAAAGACACATCACAAATCCAAGAGCGCACGACGCAACCGAGGCCTCTCCCGAGCATCTGGAAACGCCATGTCCTCTGCACGTATCCGCTGGGCATCAGTGTCCGGCAGAGAGCCGGTCCCGACAGGATGGCCTTCCGCTCCCCCTTCCACGCGGGTCAGCGCGTCCCGGTGCGCCGAGTCCTTCACTCCGCTGACGCGCGCAACGGCGGCAAAACTGACAAACCCGATGGCCAAAGCGTCGGGGCGGCGGCCTGTCCCCTCGCCGCCAGCCCCGCGTCCCCCGCTGTCCCCGCGCCGCCAGCCCGCTAAGTCCTCGCCTGGTGGGCAGCCGGAGCTCCGGGCTCCTGCGAACCCTCGCCGGGCTCCGCCTCCTCTTCCCCGAACACCTGTTTCAGCCACCGGTCCGCGCCGGTCTCCTGCCGCAGGAAGCACCAGAAGACCAGAGCCATGAGAGAGAGGCTGAAGGGCAACACCCTCCACCAGGGCCGCTGCTGCTCCTTCCCCAGGGAATGCTGCACCGTCCAGCGGGACGGGTGGGCTTGGCTGGAGGAAAAGTGAATGGGACGGTCAGGGTCATCCTCTTCCTCGGCCGCGGGCGGGGCCTGCGCTCGACCACCCGGCGGCGGCTGGGCGCGGGAAGCCCAGCGCACGAACCTCAGCGTCCGGACCGCCCTGCAAGAGAGACAGCTGTGAGCGCGCCCGCCCGTCGCCCCCGCCCTCCGCCGCTCCGAGAAGCTGCACAGCTCACCCGGCCGCCGGCGCACACAGGACGCCGCGCATCGCGACCCGGCCTCCGCGCTCGGCGCCGTGGCGCATCGGGTCGGCGTCACTTCCGACGCGCGAAACCGGAAGCCGGACGCCGTTCGAGGCCTCTGTTCACGACTACAGAACGTGGGTCCGGTCGCGCGACGGAAATGACGCGCACTCTCGGGCGGCCTCTTCCGTCGCAGCCAGCCACACACGGCAGGCCGCAAGGGCGTGCCGGGAACTGTAGTTCGCTCCCAGCCCGAAGAGGAAGGAGCCGAGAGGTGCCTGAGTGCAGGGCCGGGTTGGAGCGAGATCCTCGCACTGGGCCCCGCGCACCCCGCACCCTTCCTGCCGTGCAGGCGCAGCCCCGGGATCCGTCCGGCTGCGCGACCGGAGGCCCTCGCCCACGTCCTGGCGCTGTGCGTTGCCCCATGAAGCGCACGCAGAGCTGCCTCTAGACCCAGACCTCTCTGCGGGGCGGCGTTTCCTCGCAGGGCTCGGCCTCGGGGCCGCGATCCCGCAGCCGGCGCCGCAGGGCACGCGCACGGCGCTCCCCGGGCGTTGGGCCTGCTCGCCGAGGGCCAGCGGGACTCCGTGCGCGTGTGCGCTGCCCTCCTGGGTCACCCTCCCGAGTCAGGCTGGGGGCAGGGGGCGCCCTTCGGGCTGCCCTGGGGCTCCCTGCTCGGCCCGGTAGGGACGCTGCTGGAGCTTTTGTCCTCAGGGTAAGAACTGGGCCTGGTTTGCTGATCTTTCCCGTCAGAGGGCCACGGAGGGTGCGCAGGCATCCTCACAGACGTTGTGGGGTTGCGTGTAGGGGCGCCGGGGACTGCGTGACACAGTCAGATGGCGAGGCCGCCCTGTGGACGCTGATGAGCTGCCTCCCCAGCCCGGCATCTTTGCCTGTGGACCGCTCCTTCCTGCACCCGCTTCCGGCAGAGACACCAGACCCCGCGCGGGTCTCCGCCCCGCCCCTCCGGGGACTCTCCAGACACTAGGGCGGGGGTGGCGGGTTGGAGACGGTCCCCACGCAACAGCACCTGCGGGTCCCCGCCAGCCTGGGAAGCCCTGGCGCGCTGCGGCAGCTCAGCTCCCAGCCCGGGACCGTGTCCAGAGCTGCTGTGTCAACAGAGGCACATGTGTGTCCGGGTCCTCCTCGCCGCGCCCCACCCCACCTGTTCCACCCTGTCCGTGCAAACTGGCCAGCAGGAGCACTCCAGTGCACGAAGGAAATACGGAGTTTTATTCAAACCGAGAGCCGCCCGGGAGACAGGTCTTCACGGGGGAGAGAGTTCTGGAGAATGAACTGTTTTCACAGAGAGCGTTCTTTACAGCTTGCAAGAGCTCAGAAGGGTATCGACTAGCGTATAAGCAGGATTATGAGGTTTAACTGCAAGGAAGGCAGGCCGCAGGAGTGTGGATGACATCTCAAAGGCAAGAGGGTTTTCCCTTGGGCTGCTGCTCACTCAGAAACCAGACATACAATGTGTGTGTGGCAGGCCCTTAAGTCCAGCTTTTGGTGTAAGGAAAGTTTATGTACTGCCATCCTGATAGAGAAATCTAAAATGACTTCCCTTGCATATCAGACCTTCGGAGAGCTTTCCTCACCTCTACCTCAGAACCCCACCCGAAATCACTGCCTAACCAACTCACCCACAGGCAAGCCCAGGAGCCCCCGCTGCAGACTGGAGGAGGGGATTCATACTGTGAGAGAATGGGCCGGAATCATCCCAGTGTGTAGCCTGGAGGGCTTCCTGGAGGAGATGCAAATTAAAGCGCTCTGAGGTTAGAGGTGGAGCTGCTCAGTGGGGCATCTGCAAGAGGATTCTCTCCCTCCCTCTCCTTCTGCCCCGCCCCTGCTTGTGCACGCGCATGCTTGCTCTCTCAAGCTCACACTCTCTCCCTCTCTCTAATAAATACATAAGTCTTTTAAAAAAGGGGGGAGGCGCCTGGGTGGCTCAGTAGTTAAGCGTCTGCCTTCGGCTCGGGTCACGATCCCAGGATACTCTTTGGGATCAAGCCCTGTATCGGGCTCCCTGCTCGGCAGGAAGCCTGCTTCTACCTCTCCCACTCCCCCTGCTTGTGTTCCCTGTCTTGCTGTGTCTCTGACAAATAAATAAATAAATAATCTAAAAAAATAAAATAAAAGAGCAAATCCATGTGTCCAAATGACGACTCCTCTGTCCCCAATTCCTGCTGCCACTTGGTCTCCACTGTAGGTGAAAATGCTATGCAAAAACACAGGTCCTGCAGAGTCCTTTTTTTTTTTTTTAAGATTTTATTTATTTACCTGAGTGAGAGAGCAAGCATGGAGGGGGGGGAAATGGGGTGAGGTTGGGGAGGGGTGGGGGAAGAAGGAGAAGCAGACTCCTGGCTGAGCAAGGAGACAGATTCAGGACTCGATCCCAGGACCCCAGGGTCGTGACCTGAGCCAAGTCAAGGGTCGGAGCTTAACTGACTGAGCCCCCCAGGTGCTCCGGTCGTGTAGAGTCTTAAGAGGGCAAGAGCCCCTGGCCTTTGGGAGCTGGGACTCATAGCTGGGGTCTCTGTTCGACATAAGCATCTTCCCACACAAGGACAAGTGGGGGTCAGGCCACTGCGGACTGCTTGGGACGAAAGAAGGCCCTGCTGTAATCACATCTGAGCACTCACGTTCCAGACACCGCCCAGACCTCTGCAGCCCCACCTCCTCTGCCCTCCTTCTGGGTAAGATGCACTAGGGTGCCGGACCGGGCTGAACTCTGTCCCCCCAAATTCACATTCACCTGGAACTCAGCACGTGACTTTATTTGGAAATAGGATCTTTGCGGATGTAGATCAAAGGTCACCGGGATTGGGGGGCCTAAATCCAAGGCCTGGTGTCCTCCTAAGAAAAGCAGAAAAGACACAGAGACACATGGGGGAGGCCACGCAGAGAGGCTCCAAGCCACAGAGCGCCGAGGACTGCCAGCAACACCAGAAGAAAGAAAGAGAAAGGCCCGGGACAGACCCTCCCCTGGGGGGTGAGCCAGCCGACACCCTCACTTCAGACGCTGGCCTCCAGACCGAAAGAAGACTTGCTGTCATATTAAATCACCCCGGTGTGTCGTGCTTTGCCCTGGCGGCCCCAGGATGTGGTTGCAGAGCCCCCTGCTTCCTACCAGCCAGCACCCCAGAGCCGAGCCCCTCACCCAACACTGGCCCGGACCCACAGCCCTTTCCGAGGCCCTCCCCCAGAGGCAGCCACGTCCCGCGCCCCAACCCCAGCACTCCCCCGCCAGGGTGGGCGCTGGGTGACAGGTGCCAGAGCCTGAGCCTGCGGTGCTGCCCGCTCTGGTCCGAGTCCCCTCCCTCACCCCCTCGGGGCATAAACCGACACCTCGGCCTTCATTATCTCAAAGCACACAGAAGAATCTCTCGGGGTCTAATGTCTCCCTAATGGGCAGGGCTGGTTCACCTGAGAGCTGACATATTGGGGCTATTGATTTTCCCCAGGAAGATCAATACGGGGTGCGTGGGGACAAGCAGGTCCACGCCTTCCGAAGAGCAGAGCCTCTTCCCAGGGACAGAGGCCTGACAACGGAGCAGGGGCTGGCGGGGGCAGCAAGGGCGTAGAGCTCTGTAAGGCCTGGCACACCGGAGCTGGCTGGGAGCAGGTGCTCGGACATGTGCTGGGGCCTGAGCCTGAGTGCATCAGTTCCAGCCCCACTCCAGCTGGCCCTGGCCACCCAACACCCGGCTGGACTTGGGTGCACAGTGGTTCTGAGAAAGTGTGTCTCCACCAACCCAGCCTTTCTAGTAAGAAAAGCCAGAGTTCAACCTCCACTCGCTGGACTCCCGGGTTCCCCTCGGACGTGGCTCAGACTTAGGAGTGGCAAGGACGGGGATAATTCATCACACCCCTACTAAGACCTCAGATCTGATTCTTCAGTCCCTCTCATGCTTGTCTCCCACCTTCACTCTCTCGGGCTGTGCTTTGTGGGGCCCTATCATTGACTGCTGGGGCTAGTGCAGTGACGTGACATGTCCACAGTCCCTGGGGACTGGGGTGTGGACGTCTGTGTGGTCCCCTAACCACAGGGTGCCAGCCCCTCGTCGCCGAGGCCTTTCCAGGCTGTCTCCTCTGTGGAGACATCTGCCCTTCGCACAGATGGCCGGGTGAGCTCCTGGTCCATTCTTGCGCCCAGCAGACAACGACCTTCCTGAAGCCCCTCCTCTGGTCACACGGGGTGGGGGGAGGGAATGTTCTCGTGGGTGGGGTACGGGAGAAGCGCCCCCACTCTGCCTAGCCCGGACAGGGCACCGAGGAGGGCTGGAGACTGAGCCCAAAGGCCCTCCTGGAGCCGCCACCCATACTGCACCCGCTTTGGGTCCTCGGGGCCACACCTGCCCCAGCCCACCCGCTTTCCAGGTCCCCGCCCCAGCCCTTCCCGAGGAGCAGCAGGGGGCACTGTGGTCACAGTCCCCGCACCTGTGGGGCCCCTCCGTGGGGTCCCGGCTAGCAGGGCTGAGGCTCACTGTGCTGGGTCTGAGGGGACACCAGCCGCTGGGGGAGGGCCACTCCCCCGGCCAGAGCCTGGACAACAGTGTCACCGAACCCAGAGTGTCGGGGCAGAACTGTGGCCGTGCCTGAGGTCGGTTTCTGGGAACCGGGGTCCAAGTGTAGACTGAACTCATGAGACAGATTACGTGTGTCCCGGCCGCGCCCTGGGACGTGAGGAAGGGGCTGGGACGATCCGGGAACCACGAACCACAGGCATAGGGAGGCCTGGCGTGCCACACACGCCTGCACCCTCCCTGTAAGGCCCCGGCCCAGGTAGACTACCTGCTTGGGAGACATAGGCGGCTCCAAGGACCCACCCACAGCAAGTGACCAGCCTGGCCGGGGCCCCACGCTTCATTCCCCGTCACTTCCCCACAGCCGGGTGTCCTAGGACTCCTCCATCGGGCCCTCCAAATGTCCAAGAAATGCCCGCAGCAATGCCCCCATGGCCCCCGGTTGCAGGAAAGGCCCACCCCAACCTGTGCCCACAGCTCACGTAATGGGGGGTTCGCTAGGTAAGAGAGGTGCTGTCTCCTGTCTGAAGGGAGCAGAGCCTGGAGCCAAGGCCAAGGGCCCAGGGAGGACTGCGAAGGCATCCCCAGAAGGGTGAGCCCCCGTCGGTGGGAGGAAGATCAGGGACCGGGGGCCGCCAAGCGGGGAAGGGGCTGCTGTCGTGCCCTCAGGACCTGGCTGGCCCACAGGAAGCAGTGGCTTCAAGCCAAGGCCAACGGGTCTCTGGAGACCCCAGCCGGGAGAGAGGCATCTAGCAGGGGCCACATGCGCTGAACGGTTGTCCCCCAAACTTCATCCGCCAGAACCTCGGAATGGACGCTCACGCGGAAACGCGTGTCTGCAGCTGCAGTCATGAATACCAAGTCGGGCTGGATCCCAGTGGGCCCCGAGTCCAATGATGGGTGTCCTTGTGGGAGAGAAACTGGGACCCAGGCTCCCGTGGGACGGCCACGCACAGATGGAGGCAGAGGTTAGGGTGACACATCTGCAGCCAAGGAGCCCCACCGCGGACGCTGGGAAGGAAGCATGGGTTCTCCCCTGGACGACGCCCCTTTGCTGCTCCTGCACCCGTTTGGGTGACTGGCTACTGTGGCCCCAGGACGGTCAGGCAGCCTCAGGAGGCACCACCCAGGGTCCCGGGATGGTGTTGGCTGTAACCCAGTGTGAGTGTGGGGGGGGCTCGTGGGAAGGTCCCCAGGTGGGCTCTGCAGTGGGGGGCAGGGGCAGTGGCGCGGGACCAGCTTGGACCCTGGGGGTGAGGCCCTGTGTTTGGGGTGCAGGGGCTGAATCGGGTTGGTTGCAAACACACCGGCACTCTGGGACGGCTGGGACCCGTCACAGCGCCCAGGAGGGCCCAGCGCTTGGATGGGGCCCCCTGCATAGGAGCCTGCCACCTGGGCCCTGGCCAGGGGTCCCCCAGCCTCCTGTCCCAGGCCTACCCGGCTCCTCCCGCCAGCCAGGAGCACCGTTTACCCAGAGAACCACAGAAGCAGGATGTCCTCTAGAGGAGCCTACTCCAGAAGTCAAAATAGCATGAAATTTAATTTTCCGCCTATTTGACAAGGCTTGGTCTGGGTCCCAATCAGTGGCGGAGATAAGGGCCCTCGGCCCCGGGTGTGAGCCAGCTGGGCCCGCAGCAAACACTCCACGGTCCCCGGGCAGGTTGAGGCTCCCCCCGCGGGGCCCTGGTTGCTGGGCGCTAAAGCAAACGGGCTCTATTTGCCCAGTCTGCGATGACAATGCAGTCGCCAAATATTTGCCAGCCCGGCCGGCCGCGGAGCCCAGCTATAAATGCTTGAGCCCAGGTGCAGGTGGGCCTGCCCCACGGGAGCTGCAGGCCTCGGCAGGTAGGAGCCGGACGGGGGGCGGGGAGGGTGCTGGCGCTGGCCGCCGGGACCTGGCCACCTCCCTTCTTCCGGAAGGCGCTGGGCCTTTGGGCCAGGTGGGCTGTGCCGACCACCCACCCACCAGGAGGGCAAGGGGCGGGGCTGGAGGAGGAGGGCGCCCGCATCGGCTTCCCCAAAGCCCAGTGTTGGGGCCAGGGGATCCCCGGGAGGGAAGAGCCCCCCCACGCTGTGAGTGAGAGCCAGAGCCCAGTGCGGATGACGGCTGTAGGCAGAAGAGTGAGCCTCCTGGGGTGGGGGTTCTGACAAGCAGCGAGCCCCCCTCTCCTTCACGCCACCCTCCCTTTCTTCCTGTCCTGCCAGGAGGCAGAAAGGCCCTCCCAGCTGCAAGCTGTCCCCCCCTCTCCCTCGCACTTGTCCTTGGGGCCCAGAGCACACCAACGCTCAGAGGCAGCCCCGTCTGGCCTCAGACCAGCCCTGTCTCTGTCAGCTCCCCAAATCCCACCCCACCCGCCCTGCCCTGAGCCCCAGGCCCCCACAGCTTCCCTGCCTCCTGCTAACCCGCCCAGCCCTCCAAACCCCAGGGGCCCGGGGCTCTCACCGGCGGCCCCGCCGGGATCCACAGCGGCAGACAGTGCAGGGAGTTGGGGGGAAAGAGCACCCAGCTCAGGGCCAGGCCCCTCCACCCGTGAGACCCCCGAAGCCAAAAGGGCTGTGAGACCTGGACCCGGAGCGCTGACTGGGGCAGGCAGGCCCAGCTCCCAGGGTGCCCCCGGCCGGCACCCGAGCAGATGCCCCTGTGGGCCGGCCTGTTCCTCCCGAAGCACCTCTGCACCCCCAACACCCACGGCCCTAGTCTCTCCACGCGTCCCCGGCTTCTTATCGTGGCCCCTGCTCCAGGCTCAGCGGTGGCCACACAGGCCTGGGGACCTGAGGGCTCACCTGTCCGCCCTCCGCCTCCCTCCCCAGCCACAGCTGCCGCCCCGGAGACGTGGGCTCGAGGAGATGGCCGCGGGTGTGATCCGGCCTCTGTGCGACTTCCAGCTGCCCCTGGCCGCCCGCCGGCCCTTCCTGCCCTCAGACCCGGAGCCCCAGGAGACCTCCGAGGACGAGGACGAGGACGAGGAGGAGGAGGACGCGCTAGAGACCGCGGGGCCGGGCGGCAGGAGCCCAGGCCCCCGGGCCTCGGGCTGGGCCCCAGAAGCAGCCCCTCGGGGTCCCGGCAGCCCAGAGACGCCCCTGCGGCTGCTGCGGTTCTCCGAGCTCATCAGCGGCGACATCCAGCGGTACTTCGGCCGCAAGGACGGGGGGCAGGACCCCGACACTGGTGACGTCCACGCAGACGACCTCCAGTGTGCTGACCCCGCGCGCCCCGCTCCAGCTGGGCCCCTAGACGGCGACGAGGCTGCGCAGCCCGGAGTGCTCTCCCCCAGGGGTCCCGAGGGGCAGGCTCGCGGGCTGGGACCGCTGGCCGAGCTCTTCGACTACGGGCTGCGGCAGTACCCGGTGCTTGGGGCCCCGGCCGGCAGGCGGCTCCGGCTGGAGCGCAAGTACGGCCACATTGTCCCCATGGCCCAGAGGAAGCTGCCGCTCTCCTTCTGGGAGGAGCCGGCCCCTGGCCCCCTGGGCCTGCTCCACCCTGGCACGCCTGACTTCAGCGACCTGCTGGCCAGCTGGTCGGCGGAGACTGGCCCCGAGGTGCCCGGGGGAGGGGACCCCCAGGCCCTGGACGGGGTGCCGCTGGCCGAGGCCTAGCGAGAGGGCCAGGGTCCGTGGGGCACCAGGGGCAGCAGGCACTGCCTTTCCTTCAGGGGTGCGGCCTGTCACTGCTCTCTCTGCTGCAGCCCCAGGGGCCGTCCAACCAAGGTGGCCGGCCACCAGCAGGACAAGCCAACTCGGGGAGGGACGTCCCAGGCCCGGGGAGGATAGGCCAGGCTCCTTCTGGAGCCTGGAGCTGCCACCACCAGAGGACCCTTGGGCAGGGAACAGGTGGGAGCTGCCATCTCAGACAGCCTGGCCCTTCGCCCGCGGAGCTCTGCCCCCGTAGGGAAGGGCAGGTGGGCTCAGGGGGTCTGCACACTGTGTCCTACTCTGGGTGAGGCCCACTGGCCGTCCAGACCTGCCCTGAGATCCCAGGTCAGCAGCCGCCCGCCCGCCTGGTCCTGGGGCTGCCCCTCCCCCAGGCCCCACAGCAGGTGGCGGGACCAGCTCCCGTGGGATGAGCAAGGGTGTTCTCAGAGGCAGGAGGAAGGGGCACTACTCGAGCGTGTGAGCAAACACACGGTTCGCTCCCTGTGGTAGGACAGACAGAGCGGCCTTCCGGCGTGGCCACCTCACAGCGGGAAGGCCTCGGCCGGCCACCGAGGCCGGGGGCCAAGACCCCAAGCCTGGGCCAACTGGCCCTCCATGGGGCCTGCCAGGAGCAGGCAGGGCTCCGGGACTCTGCGGCTATGGGCAGGACGGCCTGAGCCAGTGGCGGGCCTGCAGCTCGGCTGGGCCTCAGGCAGGGAACGGACGCTCCCGGGAAGGAGCTCCAGACCCAGGTCCACGGGAGCTGGCACATTTATTTCTGGGCAAGGGGCAAGGACATGAGCTGGCGGGCAGGCTCTTGGCGGAAGGACTTCTCCAGGAACGCGCTTGGCCTCCGCTGCGCCACCAGGTTCAGGAGGACAGCCTTCCACTGCAGCCACCTGCCCGGAAAACGCGGCTCAGGCCCACTGGCCTTGGGGCCTCCCAGGACCAACCCAGACCCGGAGGAGTCTCCAGACAGCAGCTCCCCATGGCCCACCTCACGGCCTGATACACGCCCCAGCGGTTCACAGGGACCACCTCTCCAGCGGCTGTGTCCTTGACGAAGGACTGCTGCTTCCCCAGGGCCGCGAGGACCCTTCTGCTGCCCAGCGTCAGGGCCCAGGGGCCCTCCTCGCTCCGTAGACGCAGGATGCTCTCACGCAGGCTGGCCGTCTCCTCCATGCGCTGCGGACAAGGGCGCGTGAGGAGCGGCTGCTGCGGGAACCCAGGCATTCAGCCCGAGGGGGACGGGACAGCCCTGGATTTCTCTCTGACAAAACAGGGACTTGTCTACCAGGAAACCCTGCTTGGGCCAGACACACAGACATACGGGCATGGGAACGGCCACAGAGCCAGGGACCCGGCAGGGAGGGGTAGGGGGCCAGGAGCTCCCCCCAAGCGCAGGGACCACCTCGCACCAGCTTGGTTTCTGTATTAAACTTGAGGTTCTGGATGGTCTTGTTGTCCTGCAAGCTGTTTTCCAGTTTCATCATCTGGTTCTGGAACTGAACGTGGCCCCTGCTCATTGGCCCGGTCGTGGTGCGCTGGCCCGCGTGAGGGCAGCCCCCACCCTAGGCCCCTGCGGCAGGGTCCAGGCCCCTGGGGGTGATCCGGTGGCCCTGGCCAGCACTCAGGCCAGCTCCTTTCACCACGATGACACCCCCGGCATGTGAGGCGCCAGACAGGTGCCCCACTGCACGCTGGCTCCGTGAGCCACTGGACCTCAGGGTGTCTGGGATCTGGGGCGTCCCGGGGCCCCCTCTGCTGAGCGGGATGGGCGTGGGGACCCCCGGGGTACCGTGGCCAGCTTGCCCTGGATCTCGGCAATCTTCCGCCCGGGGTTGCCCTCCCTGAGCAGCTGCACGGACGAGAGCAGAGTGGCCAGTTCCTGCCGCACGGCCCCGACCTCGAACTCTCTGTCAGAACAGGAGGCTCTGGGGGGTGGCCCGGGGCAGGGGGAGGGGGAGGGCAGGGGTGGGGGGGTGCGTGCTCCCCTTTGCCACCTCTCCAGTGGGACCTGGGGGGTTGCCGGCAGGTGATGGACGGCAAAGCTCGAGGATTGCGTGGGCTGCCCCGGGCAGGGGCCGAGCCCAGAGCTGGGGGGGCCGCAGCTTCCCTCCTGCCGTCTGGGGGACGTGGCCTCACCTGGCTTGCCCCTCCGCTGAGATCTTGAGGTCCGAGTCACTCTTGTGCAGGACGCACTTGTCGGAGACGACCTCTATCTGCAACGCACGCAGGGTGGGTGGGCAGCCCAGGAGCCCGGTGGGCTGGGGAGCCAACCCCTGGCCCTCACCCACCTGGCGGGGCAGGCTGTCCACTCGCTCCCGCAGCTCCCTCAGCCGTGCCTCGGCCTCCTTCTGACACTGGGCCAGGCCCTCCCGCGATCTCTGCTCCAAGCCTTCCCGCTCTCTCTTTGCCTGGAACACAGACACCAGTGAGGGCCGGAGCTGGGGGACGGAGGGGGACGAAGGGGGACAGACAGATCGACGGGGCCCCTGGAGCCAATGGGGACAGACGGCTCTCTGGCCACCTGGGTAGTCCAGGCTGAGCGGAACCATGTCCGCAGGGAGGCCTGGCTTGGCCCCCACCCACCCGGAGTCAGCAGAGATGGGGACAGATGGCCGCCCCCAGCTGCGGGAGGGGGTGACCCCCGGGGTCCATCAGCAGAACAACACACAGACTGGGCACGCGCCACGCCCGAGCCTTTGTAGGCAACGCCCAGAACGGGCAAATCCCCACAGGCCGGTGGCAGGTCGGGGGTCGCTGGGGGCCGCGGGTGGGGGGCTGCTCGCCGCGTGGGGCTTCCTCTGCGGGGACAGGACGGCTGCTCAGCCCTGGATCCACAAGGAGCCGCCACAGCCCGGGCCTCGCGAGGGTGCGCCGCACGGCATGGGGACTGTGTGTCGATGATGTCGTGACGAGGAAGAGGAAGGAGCCCACGGGCGAGGGCTCACGGCCCTGCCATGGAGGCCACTGCGCGCCGGGCCCCGGTGGGCCTGCCGTGCTCACCTCGCCCAGCCGCAGCCTCAGCGTCCGGTCCTGCAGCTCCAGCCTCCAGCTCAGGGCCACGAAATGGTCACTCAAGTCCTTCACCTGCTTCCCCAGCTCGGCCAGCGACTCCTCCAGAGCCTGGCTCTTCTCTCGCAGCTGCAGGGCGGGCGGGGGAGGGTGGGCTGAGCGGGGCTGCCTGGGGCGGCAGGGGCCCCCGGGGTCGCGGGCCCGGCCCCCGCCGCCCTCACCGGCTCCAGGGCGCTGCGGGCCTCCTGTCGGGCCAGCTGGCCGGCCTCCAGGCTCTCCTGCAGGAAGGCGGCCAGCTCCCCGGCCTGGGTCTCCTCCAGGTGCCCCTTGCTGTCCCTGGGGGTTGGTGCCGACACAGACCGTCCCTCAGCGGGGCCGGGCCGGCTCCGCAACCGTCCGGGAGGACCCCGGGGAGCAGGGGAGGGAGAACGATCAGGGAGCCCCCTGGACGGGGCTGCGTCCAATGGTGCGTGCAGAGTGCTCCGCGGGCGGACGGGAGCCCCTGTCCCAGGGCGCTGGGTGCCGGGGACACCCACCAGGCCTTCTGCTCCGCCAGGAGGATCCGGTTCAGCGACATCTGGTTCTGCCGCACGAGCTTGGTCAGCTGGATCACGGCTTGGTCCAGGCCCCGGCACTGCTCCAGGAGGCGGCTTTCCTCCTGCTGAGGGGGAGAGGCGGGCCTGAGCCCCCCGCCGCCCCCGCAGCCGCCGCCCCCAGCCCTGGGCTGCCCACCTCGTGCTGCCCTTGCAGGGCCCGCACGCGCTCCTCAGCCAGCTCCCGGAGCCTCTGCCACCGGCCGTCCAGCTCTGCCCGCAGGCTGCGCTCTGCCCTCAGCCGGGTGCTCTCTGAGGCCTTCATTCTCTGTGGGGAGACCAGCCCCCGCTGCTGTGAGCAGAGAGGGTGTGGGGGTGGGGGCACGGCCCAGCCGCAGGCCCGCGGCCCCCACCTTCTCCAGGGCCAGGAAGCTCTTCTGCAGGAAGCCACACAGCTTGGCCTCCCTCTTGAGGAAGCGGAGGCTCATCTCCTCGCCGAGCTTGGTCACCTGGGCCTGTGGGAGTCGGTGCGGTAGCCGTGGGGTCCGACCATCCTCCTGGCCTCGTCCAGCCCCTGCCCTGCCCCTGCCCTGCCCGCCCCCACCCCCCAGCCCCAGGGCGAGCTCGGACCGCTCTGTTTCCTGGCCCGACTGTGTCAGTCACAGAGGACCCCAGGCCGTGTCCCCTAATGCCCTGAGCCTCGCAGCACAGGGCCCACCACTCCCTCCTTAGGAAGGCAAGGCCCACATGTCCTCCCCGAGGGCCAGGCACGGGGGCTGTGACGGGCCCACAGGTCAAGCTTGTGGGGACCCAGACCATGGCTGGTACTCCCGGCAACCACGGACACCGCGCTGGGCAGATGGCAGAGCTACCACATTGCATCCCGAGTGGGAGCCTCCATCAGGGCAGCCGCGTGCACAGGAGCGCCCACACACTCACGCGTGCACGAGTATGTGCGCACAGACCCACACATGGGTGCGTGCACACACATCATCCTCAGCCCTGGGGCCCAGCAGCCCCTCCTTCTCCTCCCCTTCCTACTGCATCAAGGATTGGAGTGTGTCCACGCTGCGGCGTCAACGCCGGGGCCCCAGCTCCCACAGCCACGGGGGGTGCACCCTGAGCGTCTGCCAGCCCCTCACACACAGGGTGCTCTGCGGCGGGGGTCGGCGGGCCGTTTCTGTAAGGAGCCCAAGGACGCGGGGTCTGTGCCCAGGGCTCTAGGGCAAACCCAGAAATGAGTCGGACTAAACAAATGGGTAGGGCCGCGCGCTGATCCAGCTTGGCGAACACCGGTGGTGGTCACGGCCTGCTGACCCCGGCCTAGAGGGCGGTGCGGGACGGCCGTGCTCCCTGCCCGTGCCTGGAGCACCAGGAATCCCTGGGCTTGGGGCCTTCGGGAGCTCCCGGTCC